TCAGTTATACTTGTTTCTGACTTCGTCATTACTATTTCCTTCCCTTTTCTTCCTTTGGATTTATTTTGGATGCTTGAATTGGAAACTTACACTGTGAGACATTTCCTTTTTCACAATGTAAACATTTAAAGCTACACATTTTCCTTTTGGCACTGCTTTAGCTGAATCCAGCAAATTTTTCTTTGCTGTATTTTCATTTTCATTTGTTTTTATGTAGTTTGGAATTTTCATTGAAATGTCTTCTGGCCAATGAATTATTTAAAAGTATGTTGTTTCGTTTCCAAACGTTGGAGAATCTCCTGTTGTCTTTCAGTTATGATTTCTAGTTTGACTCCATTACAGTCATGTGATTTCAGTTCTATTAAGTGTACTGGGGTTGCTTTTGTGACCTAGGCTATCATTCATCCTGATAAGCAATTAGAAGAGCACTTGAATGCTGAGGTTAGGCACAGCATTAGAAATCCCAACAAGATCTTGTTGATGAGGGTGTTGTTTAGTTCTACTACATCCTTGGCAATTTCTTGTCGAAGAGTCCAGTTGATTTCAGTAAAAAAAGTATTGAATTCTCCAACTGTAATTTTGGATTTGGCTGTTTCTCTTTTCAGCAGCATTGGTTTTGTTTCCCATATTTTGAAGCTCTACCTTCTGGTGTCTATTTAATTAGGATTGTTTTATCTTCTTGATGGGTTGACCCTTTTATTCTTAAGCAGTTTCTCTTCCGGTCCCTGTAGTTTTCTGTGCTCTGAAGTTTACTGTATCTGACCTTGGAGAGCCAATCCTGCTCTTTTAATGTCTGCCTGTTCGGCTTCACTCTCTCCCTGACTGGATTCAGAGCCTCCTGAACAGGTGACTGGATGACAGGGGCCTGTACTCTTCTGGGGATCCATCCAGTGATGTCCACAGCTGAACGCGCTGGGAGGAGGTGGGGCCATAACAAATGGTTTAGATCCAGAGTGTCCCCCAGAACTGTCACACACTCAAAGTGGGACTTCTGAAAGGCGATTAGATTGCGGGGCTTACAGCTGACCTGCTGTTAGCAGGTGGGGCGTGGTCACTGGGGTGTGACCTGGAAGGGTGTGTCTCCCTCCTTGCTCCTCTCTTCCCTCTCTGCTTTGTGGTCACCATGACAGGAGCCAATGTCCTCTGCCCAGGCCCTTCCACCACATCATTTCTACATCTGAACCAGCTGGCCGTGGACTGAAACTTCCAAACTGTGAGCCAAAAAAAATCACCCCACCCCAAGTTGTGGGTGTCAGGTATTGCGTCTTGGTGCCGGGAAGGTGACTAGGACAGGCACAGGTGGAGAGGTCACTAGGGCTGCCTTTGGAGGGTGTATCTCTCCCTGGTGCTCTTTTCCTGTGCTCTGCTCCCAGCTGCCATGAAGCAAGCAGCTCTGCCCCACTGCTCCCCTCTGCCATGCTGTTCCTGCCTTAGAGCAGCTGACCATGGACTGAATCCCCTGAAACCATGAGCCACACTAAACTTCTCCTTGAAGTTGGTGCTGTTGGTTACTTTTCTCCAGCAACAGAAAAGCTGATCAATATAGCATATCTTTTTATTCTTTTCATCTACCTTAGCCATTAACTTTGAAGTGAGTTTCTGCTAGGCAGTATATAATTGGGTTGTGCATTTCATCTACTCTGCCAATCTTTGAATTGTCATATTAGGTCATTTATGTCTAAGGGAATTACTGATATGCTAAGGCTTTGTCTGCCACTTATTTATCTGCATCAGCTCTTTCTTTTTCTTGTTCCTGTTTCTCTCTATTCATTCCTTGATTCACTTGACCTTTTTTAGAAGCCTATGTTAATTTGTTTATAACATTTTCAGTATAGCAGTTTGTGCAGTTTTCTTGCTGGTTGCTCAAGCATGACAGTACACTCAGATGCTTTATTACAGGCAGCTGCTTTCATGTTTAACAATTTGGGTTGAGTCTTGAAATCTTGTTTTCACTTACACTCTTTTTTTCTTGGTACCCGGGATCGGACTCAGGACCTTGCACTTGTCGGGCAGGCGGCGGCACCACTGAGCTAAATCCCTGGCCCTCACTTACACTCTTTTACCCTCCTCACTTTTAAAAGATGATCCTTGTAGGTATTTATGCCTTGTGTGTTGCTTTAGCTAACAGTGGTGGTGTGGCTGGGCATTGGACGTGTGGCCAGCAGCTCTTTCCCTCAGTGCTCACTTCCTCCTGGGTATGGTCTCAGGTGAGAAATCCAGTACCGTGAGCTGGTGCTCCTGTGAAGACAGCAGCTCAGGCTGTTTCTGGGCTTGTTTCCTCATCTGTACTTTGTCCTACTCATGTGCACACTCGTCTGGAACCTGCTGGTGTGTGTTTGCCTGCACTGAGGAGCGCTCAGCCATAATTTGTTGCATCCTTTCCTTGTAGGACTCTAGGGATATGAGGCTTGAATCTTTGGCTGTTGTCCACAAGAGCCTGGTGTGCTGCCCACTGTCTTCTGTCCTTTTCTCTCTGTTGCTGAGACTACATCAAGGCTATTGATTGTGGTCAATTTCCCCGGTCCTGTCCTCCTCCATCTACACTCTGCTATGGTGCTCACTCAGCAAGTTTTCACTCTGTTATTGTATTTTTTGTTTCTATAATTTACACTTTGCCCTTTTAAAATCACATCTGTTTTTGCTAAGATTTTTATTTTTCATTTTTTCAACAGAATTCATAATTATTAGTGATGATTGCCTTTTCTTATTTGAGTTGTGTTTTATTCCCTTTTAAGAAAAGTGATTTTCACTGATATCCTGCACATTTTGGACATTACGCTGAGACCTTTGGTCCTAAGTCTCTTATTTTAGCAAGCAATAGCTCTGTTTAGGTTACTTTTTACTTATCTCTTTTTCTTCCTTCTTTCCTTTCTTTTTATTTTGTGCTGAGAATTGAACCTAGGGCCTCATCCATGCTAAGCACACACTCCACCACTGCATAGGTTTAGCATATAGGACTTAGCTCATTTTTATGAGCTGTAATCCCAATGACAATTTAGTTTTTATTATTTTTATTCATGGCGTGCTCACAGTACATAGTGATCACGTCCACTGTGGGAACGTACACAGCATCTCCTAACTCTTTTTCATCCCCTTCCACTCCTGTCTCACCTTCCCTCCATCTCTTTGCAAAAAGATCTATCTCCTTGTTTCTTGTTACCTATATTTTATTTTGTTCTTTTTTCTACTTTGGGTTTCTCATATAAGGGAAACCATGTGTTACTTAAGATTGTGTGTCTGATGACAATTCAGTTTTCAAGACCCTAGCAGTGCTAATGTGGTCTACCTCACATTGCAGCAACATTTAAATAAACATTTGCTTATTTTGTAGTTGGGGAAATGAAAACCCCTGGAAACATGCACTTCATACACAGTGTGTTATATGGAAGACACCAAGATCTACCATGAACCGAGGCCTGGAAAGGAAAACTGAATAGAGCAACTGTGGGTTCTGACAGCTCGCGGGTCGCAGGTTGGTAACGAAGCCTTCGTGCCCTATGCCACGGTGGGGTCTCCAGGCAGGGCCACTGCCGGAGTCTGGGAGGTGTTTGCCAGAGGTCACATTTAGGACTCTGGCTCTGAAGCCAGAAGCCATGTCAGAAGCAGGAGACAGAGGACACACAGTGAGTAACCACTAACTTCGCACCCGTGGAGCGGGGTAACCAGAGGCCTTACCTTGTACTGGGTTCCTCATTTATGACTCACAAGAGAGTCCTGCATCTTGTGGTTGAGGCTCCACAGCCCCTGGGTTGGTGGGTCCTGCCCAGGTGAGCTCCCTGTTGTCTGTCACTGAAATGATCCTATACACTTAGGCTATTTGCCACCTTTCAATGGATTTATTTAGTTTTATTTATTTTGGTTTTTTGAGACAGGGTCTTGCTATGTAGCCCAGGATGGCCTCAAAGTCGCAGTGATCCTCCTGCCTCAGCCTCCTCAGTGCTGGGATTACAGGCATGCACCATCATGCCCAGCTTCAATTTACTTTTGATCCATTTTTAATAGCTAAAATAACACAAAATTCACTTATGTGTCCTGCTAAATTAGGCTTTGTTTTAAAACAGAGTGTGTGTGATGGAATGAATCTCTCTGTTGGTCTTTTTGCTCCAAAGGACTCTTTTTTTTTGGTACTGGGGATCGAACTCTGGGCCTTGTGCTTGTGAGGCAGGCACCGGAACCACTGAGCGAAATCCCCAGCCCTCTGCTGGTCTTTTTGAAGTAAACTTGAGAACTTTCACACTTGGCAATCTCATGCCTTTTACAGCTGCCATTTTTAAATGCTTGCAGGTATGTTGTGAACGCTGACTACTGAATCAGATGCCTGCGCCCGTCTCTGTCTGGGCATCAGGAACCGGCGTCAACACGAGACCTGGCCGCGGTGAAGGCTCAGTGAGGACTGCAGGACGCTGCGGCTGCCAGCTCTCCCTACGGCGCACAGGGGGCGCAGGTCGAGACAGGGCGTCCCAGCCCCCGCTCTCTCAGGAAGGCAAAGAAGGGGACCAGGCCGGCAGAGCCTCTCAGGGCAGAGCGGTGAGGAGACAGGGCCTCAGTCCTCCGGGTCCCTCCGGTGAGAGGCGGGCAGGCTCGGGTTCCGCCCCCTCCCAGGGCGGCAGTTCACAGCATCGGCCGGCAGAGGGCAGCAGAGGCCAGCTCGTGGCAGACCAAGCCCAGGGCCTAGCGCAGAAGCGGGTCCTGGGCCTGAGTCCCGCTGGCTTCCCGGGTGCAGGCTCCACCAGGGAGAAGCAGCGGCCCTTCCTCTCTCTGGCTTGCCCTGGGGAGAGGGGCGAGAGGAGGCAATTCCGAAAGCCCCTCATTGTGCGGAGTGGCTTTTTCTTTCTTTTCTGCATCACATGCACTGAATGCCATTTTCCAAAGTGCTCCCAGAGGGGGCGGGCAGCCAGGTGATTTCCCAGAAGCCGGAGGAAGAGCCACAGGACGCAAGGCCCACATAGCTCAGGGGACTTCAGGAGGGCCACACCACTGCTGCTTACAGAACTCGGAGCTTCCTGCCTTGGCAGTCATCCGGGGAGAATTGTTACAGCACGGGTAAGAAGTATCACGGCATCTTTAGAGCTACTCACCATGTTGACAGGTTCTGGAGTTCAGCTCTTGCTGCTGACTCACTAACCTGTAGTCTAGGCAGGGCCTAGGAGAGAGCTGCAGTGCAGCGGGCAGAGGCGGATCCAGCTCCTAGGTGCTGAGGTCTGCGGTGTGGACATGGGAGGCCCCGGTTAGCGACACGGACACTGTCGGGAGGGTGCTCAGCATTGCTCACCTCCCTGGGCCCAGGACATCACCGTGTGACGGGTCAGCCACCCTGTGGGGCGTCTGATGGTCACACAGAGGGTGGCCACAGACCTGGGGCTACGGCTTAGCCCTGCTCCCGCCTCGCTCCTGGGACTGCTTGGTTGGGGGTGAAGGGTGGTGTGGGAGAAGGGACCGCGGTGTCGAACACGGCCAGGGTCACCCCATCCAGGCTGTGAGGGGAGTTTCACCTGCAGGGACAGCTTCCTGACCAGGACCAGAGCCAGCGAGCAGCACTCGCCTCACTCCCAACAGGGCCGCTCCTGTGGTGCCTCTACCTGCGGTTTGTGTCCAGAGCTGCCTTCGGATGGCTTTCATATTCTTTATATGTAACACCGAAACTTTGAAAACCAACTCGAGGCCCAAGAATTCGAAGAGGGAAATTCATCTCATAAATTGCAGTATGTCCATACAATGGAAAATTATTTATGGAACCATAAATCATTTGATGACATAGAAAATATGAGCTATAAGCCAGGCTTGGTGAGGGGCACCGGTAATCCTCGCCTCTCAAGAAACTGAAGCAGGAGAGTCAAGTTCGAGCCCAGCCTGGAGAACCTAGGGAGACCCTATCTCAGAAACAAGTATGTGCAGTACAACTGTGTGTGCATACACTGTGGAAAGAGATGAAGTGTGCATATAGCAGAGTATTGGTAGTGTTATCCATGTGCATGCAATTATGACTTTCAATTTTTAGGCATTTCTATGGTACCCTAATTTTTCAATGCACATTTGTTATCTTGGGAGCAAAAAAAATTTTTTTAAAGAATTGTGTGTATATAATGTTGCCAATAAGAGAAAGACTATTTGTAAGTGAATACTTTATGACAGTTTTCCAAACTAAAAGACACCAAATGGAAAACTTGAAAATGTAAAAAAGAATGCATGAACTAAAATAAAAGGCCTTAATGCCAAAGCACTGAAGAAAATGAAGTAGAACCTAATAGAAACCTAGGAGGGAAAATCAGAGCAAAGATTTTAAAATTTGAACTGTTTTCATGGGAGAAGAGGGTCGATTCTTTCTGCCCATCATCAGTGACACTGGATTCTGGAGCTAGAATCTGGGTAGTGGTGCTTTTACCAGGAAATCTGCGGTGAGCCCGAAGGCAGGGTGCTCAGAAGGGGAGGGTGGGCAGCCTGCAGTTGGGGTAAGGGGCTCCACTGGGCGCCAGGTCTGGGCAGGGCCACCCACGGAAATGGCCAGCATCTGGCGGTGAGCATGGCCTCTCCCCTCCCTCAAGGCTCCTGGTCTTCTGCAGATGTTAATTTCAGGCCTGTTCTGTAAGACAAAGGCACAAAAACACAGGGCGTCAGCTTTTGGAATGCTGTTAACATTCAGGATCTGTACACTGAACTCTTAAAATCTTCTGAGTTTAAAATACAAAGAAAACAACACCCAGTCGGCTTTCGAGAATTAGTAACTAAATGAAATGGCCAGGAAAGAGCCAAGGTTGGCCCAGTTTCGGGGGAATACAGCCTCCACGTGGAGCAGCTGGGCGCAGGGTCAGCCTTGGATGCTTCAGAGGGACCCACAGGGCTGGGCTCCCAGCCCAGCGGCTCCTGGAGGGGCCTGTGGTGTCACAGCGGGCAGGGTCTCGTTTGTGGGATGGGGCCCTTCAGTCTTTCAACAAGAATCCAAAAGTGATGGAACGCCTGGGCGGAGGAAGCAGGCTGGGGCCTGCTCTGCCCGTGGAGAGAGGAGAGCCACCGAATCCTGGCCCGGCCTTCAGGGCTTTCTGTGCCTTGCCGAATCTGACGCCTTGGAAGGGTAAGTCTGGCTTGCCTGGGAGCCTGGCCCGGGAAGCTCTGCACAGTGATTCTCCGCTCACCCCACATCCAAGCGTTCACATCACCTGGAATTGAGCAGAAACAACTCGAATAAAAGTGTCCCGCAGGGGACATGCAGTGGGGCCACTGTCTGGGCTCTGACTCTGTCGACTCCCCTGTATACTCCAGCTGAGCCTTTAAACACACACCCCAGCTAACCCTAAGAAAACTGAACAAATAGCCATGTTGTGCGGTGGGTCACGAGCCCAATCCACTGTTCCGTGAAGCACATCAAACATGAAAATGGGGCAGAACAAATGTTTTCCTCTGCTATTCAGAGACGCACTGAAGCCTGCTGCCGCCAAGGTAATTTATAATATATATTTATAGAAATGGATGGCCCGCCCAGTCATTCGTGTGCTTCGACTCAGTCACCAAGTACAATGCCCAGGGCGGGGAAGAGCATTATTCAATCGCCTTTTGAGCCCTCCCTGGCCACTCTGGCTGTCAAAGGGCTGGGGCTGAAGGTTTTGCCATGCAAGAGGCGCCCACCTTCGCTTTATTAACTCAGGCAAAGCGTTCCTTCAAGCAAAAGAGGAATAAGCTCTCTAATCATCCGGAAAACTAATTAACTTCTTTCTTTCAGATGCCTTATCTGATCTCTCCTTGGGAGCCTCCCTCCGCTCGCTCTGTGGGACTGAAGGGCTGGAGGCCTGTGCCAGTGTTAGCAAAACATTTGGAGTCACCGAGCCTGCGACGAGAGTGGCACTGGAGCACTGGAGGTCGCAGTGCTGAGCAGGCTCTGCCTGCCTCGGCTCCCTGACCCTCAGCCAGTGTCCTCGGCTGTGAAGCAGAGGACAGACAGCCATGGCATGCTGTGAATGCCCGACGTGCACCGTTGTAATCTGTGCAGAGGCAGCAGTGATGCCCAAGGTGGGTATGGCAGTGTCACAGAAGGGACACGCAGACCCACGTACATGCCTGGTGGGGGGTGGCGCGCTGGGCCACGGAGGGCCTGCTTAGCACTGCCCCCGCCCCTGGATCTCGTGCCCCGTCCAGTCTCAGAGCCTGACGCCCAGTGAGCTGAACTCAGAGCACTCCCGGCCTTCTCCTCCTCGTCTTCCTGCAGCAGTGGTGCCGAATCTACCAGACGACTCGGTCTGTCTCCACTGTGCCCTGGCTCTGGATAAACCACGAAGGAGAGGGCACGGGGGACAGGAGGGACAGCAGGAGAGGCAAGGACCTCTGCAGGGAATCTGAGTCCCTTAAGTACGTCATCCCACAGAGAAAAGCCACCTGCAGTCTATTCCAAGGGCTTTCAAAATTACTTTAGAAGTGCAAGCATTTACAGAAGCGGTGGCCCTGCTGAGCACCAAGCGACACAGCGGAGCAGGGCTCCTAACTAGCACCATGGAACTGGGGAGCCAGACGGAAGAATCCAGGCGAAAACAACTGCAGAAAAGAGGGTTGAGGGGCCCCGAGCAACTCTCCCTAAGACAGGCGACAGCATCATCGCCCCGAGCTGTTTCCGTACAGCCTGTTACCATCAGCTCTGAAAATCAGCCCATTTTAATACTGTATGAGCTGAAATCCTATGTGCTCCAAAACAAGGTAACAGAGCCTGGATCAAAGGACTTCGGACCCAGAGTAATCTACCCACCTCCACTCGGCAGTTGAGTGACTTTTTCCTGGAAGATAAGAGATTTCCAACACGTAGGTGAAGTTTTTATCTGTCGGTCTGGGGTCAGAACAGTAAATCATTATAATCTTTAAAAGTGAAGCTCATATACATTTGTAAGTTAATTGGAGTTGGAAAGAGTGTTCTCGAGTTTTAGGCACTCGGTCATCAGAGGAGCCTTATATTGAGAGAGCTGAGTACCGATAGCCTCATTCGTCAAGAAACTTTTGCCAGGCAGCATGGCACACGCTTGTAATCCCAGCACCGAGGGAGGCAGAGGCAGGAGGATCGGAAGTCCCAGCCCATCTGAGCAACTTAGGGAGATCCTGTCCCAAGATAAAAAATAAAAAGGAGGACTGCAGGGGTGTAGTTTAGTGGTGGGTGCCCGGAGCTCTACACTGAGCACCACGCACAGACACACGCCTGCGCACAAGCAGAAAGCGTCTGACGTAGGGAGGGGCGCATGCCCTGACTGGGGCCTGTTCAGCTCTTAGCCCTATGGGCCGAGCCAGTTTTCATGTCTCCCGTGGGTTTGCTGTAGTGCTGGGGTCTCTCTCATGGGTCCGCGTCGGTCAGATACACACACACACACACACACACACACACACACACACACACACACACACACGTATAAGGAAAAAGATTTACCGAAGGAACCATCTCCACGGCTTGGGGTCTGGAGAGTCTGAGATTTGCAGGTGACTCCGAGCTGGAGACCAGGGAGACGCTGCATGCGGGGCATTTTCTCTGCTCAGGCCTACAGCGGCCTGGGAGAGGCCCCGCCCACTAGGAAAGGCCACCTGCTTTATTCAAAGCCGTCCGTCCGGTAACACCCTGAGGGACATGCCAAGAAAAACTGTGAGCAAGTACACGTGCTGGGGGCCAGCCAGGCAACCCGAGAACCAACCGTCCCAGCACTGCCACCCTCCTGGGCTGCACTGGCTCCTGGTGAAACCTAGCTGTGGGCTCGTGTGGCTGGAGTGTCCCCTGGGTGTGTCCTAACCAGCCCTCTTTTCTGGGGGAGCCTCTGCTTTGAACCCCTTGTCCTGGTGGGACCTGGATGTTTCAGGAAAGTCTGAAGGTTGGGGAACTCTGGTGCTTGCTGAGCACCTGAGGGGCAGAACTGGGTCCCGGTCGGAGATAAAGTTGCTCACTGCTCTGTAGCCCAACTGCTTTCTTCAGTTTGTCAACTTGAGGTTGATTTCTACTGCCAAACTTGGCTAATTTTGACAGTTTTACCCAATTTTCGGTTTTATATTGTGTTCTGGCTTATACCCAGATGTCCCCCCAAATCCTTATGCACTTATAGGTGGGGCTTTGAGGAGGTGGTTGGATCATGGGTGTGTGATACTGGATATGGATATCCATAACTGAATAACTGGATTAGTCCAGTAATTGGTTTAGCATAGTTCCTGGCATGGAAAATGGGAAGCCCCACCCTGGGTGTGGGTGGCAGCAACCAATAGGCTTGTAGCCTGGATGCAATAAAAGGGGAAGGAGGACTTACTGCTTCCTGCCTCCTGCCTGCCTTACCATGGACTGTTTCTCCTCTGCATTGCCCCTCTGCCATGAGGCCCTGCCTTAGAGTCAGCTGAGGACTGAAACCTCTACAAGCTATGGGCTAAAATAAGCCTTTCTTCTCCTAACTTGTGGTTGTAGGGTATTTTGTTCCAGCAATGAGAAAGCAACTAAAACATATTGTGTGTGTGTGTAGAGGATTTGCTTATATCTTCACCCACCTCTCTGGAAGTCTTCCTGACCCATGCTTTTTGAAACTTTGTGAGAAGCTCTTGTTACAGACATTTATACTTGTTATAATTTTCTGAATTGATCCGTTCAGCATTATGAAAAGCCTTTATCTCTAGTTAGAATCATTGTCTTGTTCTATTTTGTCTAAGGTTAATGTGCCCCTTCAGCTTCATTAAGCTTGGCTATTCTCATGGTGCAATGGTACCATGGTATTTGTCATTAATTGCTTCTGGAAGGTGTAGAGTACCAAGAAGGACAAGTATCAAACAAATTGTTTTGGCTGGAAAGGACAGTGGGTCACCAGGCAATGCACACCAATAAGTGTCAAGTACCAGACAAATGATGAGTACCAGGACAGGATTTTTGAATCAAAATGTGTTGAAAACCAAATTCCACGAGTTTCAAAGCAGCTGAGTACCAAGGTCTGGGTGCATTTCTTTTCTTTTTTTCTTTTTTTTTTTTTTTGCATTTCTTTTCTTCACTCACTTTCAATCTCTGTCTTCCTGTTAGAATGTGTCTTTACTATATAGCACATAATTAGGTCTAGCTTGTAAGAAAACTCACTGACAGCTCTCTCACCTGGAAGGCCTTGCCCGCTCATGCCTGCACAGCTGCTAGAACGGCTGGGTCTAAGCATGCCGCTGTAAAAGCTGAGTGTCTGCCTTCCCCTTGAGTTTCATTTCTCTTCACCTTTTCTCTCTTCTTTTTGCATTATTTGAATCCTTTGGAATTCTATTTTAACTTACTGGCAATGAGAACAGCCATTCTGTCTGTCCCGGAAATCAAGGGAAGGCCAGTTGCTGTGGACAGAGGGGCAGTGCAAGCTCTGCTTATTGGTTTGGGTGAATTTGGACCTCACATTTTACCCAAATGTCTCGGTCAAGCCTGAGTCCCCCTTCCTCCCAGTTAATGGCCCAGCCTAAGATAAGCTAGTACTGCATGCTCAGTTGGCTTCATTCCCTCCCTACCCATGGTCCAGCTGTGGTTGGGTCTTATCTCAGACCACTGCAGGGCAACAATGAGAGACTTTCAGGGCTGCCGTAGGAGCTCCCTGGCTCTGGGATTGCACCTGGAGATAGAAACCGCCCTGGCCAGGTGCACACACCTGGATCTACTGAATCCTCCAGTCTCTCCATCAGCCAGGGCTTTGTACCTACAGACCCCTCTGGGGCTCGGCGGGCCAGGGACTACCACTGTGTCCTTCAAGACAGTCGTCGGGACAGTCGTCAACACATGAGCTTTGCATGTGAGCAAGCAGAGGGGTCACTGCGCCTGCCAACGACTGAACGAGGGCCCAGTGGGCCAAGCAGAAACCACAGCGGACGTGGCAGGGACAGCTGTGATTGTGGGTGATGGAAGCAGTGCGCGGCGCACTCCGAGTTCAGCTGAGAAGGGCACCAGGGAAGAGCTGGCGTTGGCCGTGGTAGCCAAGTTCCGGACTTTCCGAGGGGGCAGCACTCACGGTGAAGGCGGCACCAAGGAGAGGGCTGAGGCAGGGACCCTGCCGCGGGGCAGGCTCGGCTACTCTTCACAGATAGAGGCAGTGCCACGCTGACAACGTGGACTGTCCCCTGCTCCCTGCCGCCCGCATCCTGAGCTGAGTCCTGCATGTCGAAGTCACGTGTGTGCCTGCCCCGGCCTTCGGTGTCTCTGTGGCCCTTGCTCACCCCGGTCCTGCAGGTGGCTCCGGGAGGGCGCCCACCGTGCACATGCACGTGACAGTAGGCACGGTCGCTGCCTACTCAGGCCTCTCTGCTGCTCTGTGCACTTGACTGCCCATGGCTCCGATGACGTCATGATTACCTGAGGCACAGGGTTCGAGGCTGGAGAGTTTGGGCTACTAATCTCTGCTCACCGGAGTGCACCGCTGCAGCAGCAGGTGTCCCCTGTACCACTGTCACAAACCTTAACCCCCTTGCGCTTTGATGACAGATTCGTCATCAAAACTGAACCCAACCGGTGCCACCTAAAAACTGCCTCCAGACTATAGGTTGTTTCCCAGAACCCTCCGCGGCATCAATCCGCGCAGCCCACCCGGTACCCTTCTGGCGTCCCCCAGGAACTCTTTTGGCGCGCCAGCAGCGGCGGGGACCTGCGGCGGGGCCGGACACTGAGATCGCGCATGCGTGAGGAGCGGGGCCTTGTGGGAAGCGCGCGCTTTCGCGGCTTCCGCGAACATGGCGGCGCCGTAGCCCGGGCGCAGGAGCAGCGGACGCGGGCAGCAGGCCGTGTGCAAGCTCGGGGCGACGATGGCGACCCCCGACCAGAAGTCGCCCAACGTTCTGCTGCAGAACCTGTGCTGCCGGATCCTGGGCAGGAGCGAAGGTACGCGCGTCCGGAGGTCGTTCCCGCGGGCGGCGCGGGGCTCGGAGGCTGTGGGGACTCAGGGCGGGGGCCGGGCCGGCGGCCGGGCCGGCTGTGTCGCTGCGTCTGGCTCACCAGGCCCGCCCGAGGGAGTCCGAGGCTGCTCGCTCGGGAGGTCGCGGCTTCGCCACACCAGCAGGCGCGGGCGAGCCGCGGGGCCGCGGCCTGCTCAGCGGGGACCGCGCGCGGTGCAGTGATCCGGGACAGCACTCGCTGACCACTGTCACCTGCCGCCTCTTCAGCCACAGAGGAGGGTTTGATCTGATTGCTACAAGATTATTCCCGGACCGCAGCCCTGGGCTAAGCGCTGACGTTCTGTAGCTGCAGCGCTGGAGCGGTGCAGAACGTCATCTGGTATTTATTTGGTTCTGAACGCTCAGAGGGAATTTTCTGGTAACTGAACGACTGAATTACACCTTAAGTCCCCAAACGTGGGAAATAAATTATGTAGTTTTTGAGAGAAGACTTTAAACAAAGTTACATGTAAAGTACTGAGAATAGGCTTTAACCTTTAATTATTTATGATAACTGATGTATGTAATTTATTGGCTGTTTCGAGATAACCTTGGGGCACAGGATGAATTAGTTTGTGTCACTCCTAGGTGCTGCCTTTGCTACACTTTGCGATATTTCCCTGTTACTGTATTCATCCAAGAAATCTTTGAGGCACCCCTTCCTGCCCCTTTATGCAGGGTGCTGATAGTGCAGAGATACACAGATCTTGTTTCTGTCACAGACCTTCCATCATAAGGGAGGAGAGGTGACAAGCGCATTGGTGATAAGTACTGTCCTGGAAAAGTAGGGTGCAGGGGAAGAGAGGGAACCCGTGAGGGAAAGAAGTCTCTCAGATGTTAAGCATCGACCTGGAAGGGGAGAGGAAGGGCCTTTACAGCACCTGGGAGGCCGGGGAGGAACAGCATGGGGACCCGGGTGGGTGTCAGTGCAGCTGCTCTCTTCTGTTTTGTCACTAGCACCGGGAGTTACCTTTCTGGTTTCATTTCTAGCAGAAATGTGATGACAAGATTGCTGATTTACTCGGTTGAACATTAGTTCTTTTTCCCTTATACCAGTGGTTCCAAATTTCCTTTTTCCTCTCGGGATAGACCACACATTCATACATTCCCATTGTCATAACTGGGTTCTGAAGTCATTCATCATGAACTAGAGTGATGAGTCTGAACTTTAAAGGATTTTTTTTACATTGATAAAAGTTTCACCCCTTTCAGGAGATTAAAATACTTTTCAACAAAATTCTGTCTCCTCCTGTGGTCTCATTTAGAATTGTGTCTGCGTTACTAATCAGTGGTCTCTCACTGAGACCTAAGGAGATCCACTCTGAATAAAGTATTTAATAAATTTTATTATAGATAATGTTCTCTTGATTATGTTTTGGATAGCTAGAGCTGCCAAACATTGTGATTCAAATTACGCTATTTACTGAAAAATCTCTATTACTTAGTGCTTACCTTGGTTTGTTTTTATTCTACATTAGTGATCAGAGGAGCAATATTAATTACTGCATTTACAATATTTGACTTAAAAATTTTTATTAGTGGGCGTTTTGTTAATTTCACAGACTTTTATTAATTACCATTTTCTAATGACATGTTATGGACAGTTGGCTTTATGTTTTTGCAATATGTACCTGTTTTAATACTGTGAAATCAAAGCAGATTGCAAACTTGTTACTTTGTGAATTTCACATGAATCAGAATTTTGCAAGATTTCCCTTTTTTTCAAAAATAGTCATACATTTATTTCAAGGGACTTTCATAAGCAAAGTGCCTGGGTACTTTATAAAGTTAGTGTAACCATCACTTCCTACCTGTGTTAGGCAGCTTTGTGTTACTGTAACAAATACCTGAGATAATACCTGAGATAAGCTTGCAAAGCGAAAACTATTCCAGCTCACAGGTTTAGGGCTATACAGCCTGTGATCAGGTGGCCCCATTGCTGTATGCCCACGTGAGGTGGCACATCTGGGTGTCAGTGCATGGTGGAGCAAACTTCTGTCATGGCCAGGAAGCAAGAGAGAAAGTGGCAGAGACAGGAGTCCTGTTCCTTTGAGGGCATGCTCCCATGACCTCCAACTGGGCTGCAGCTTTTAGAGGTTCCATCGCCCAGGTTTCCTTCCTGGGGTCAAAGCCTTTGACATTTGGGCCTCTTGAGGACATTCAGAGTCCAAACTGTGGTGCCACCTTTTCCAGCATATATGATGTATGATTCTGCTTGAACACATTGCAAGCCAGTGATAGGAGCAGCCTGTCTCCCTGCCCCTCTGCTGCTTAGAGCACACTTACTGATATCTCTAGATAGTCATTATTCCTGCCAGTGAGCTGCTGTCAGAGCGTTTCAGCTCTTTCAGAGGCAGCACTTTTCAGAGCACTGTAATCTTTCTAACTATGAGATAGAGAAGGAGCAAGAGGAGTTCATACTAGAGAAGCGCTTCAGCATATATGTTTAGGATGACTGTGGCACACAACACATGAAAGCCAGGCGGCTGCCCTGGCCAATGAGACTGCCAGGAGCGTGTGTCCAGGCACAAGGACACAGGTAGGGGAGGTGTCATGATGGGTCACTGTCACAGACAGGGTTGCTGCTGCTTGTGTGAGCTTTTGATGTTTGTGCTGACCAGGTACAAACTGTTCTTGTCATTCTGTGAACAATACAGTGTGACAACTCTTAATAGAACATGTGCGTTGTGTTAGGTATTATACATAAACTAGAGGTGATTTGAAGGATATAAATAATGATAAAATTATAAAGGGAGTTAATATTTAAGAATTGTCATGGTTTATGTTTCTAGTGTGTAACTGTGGCTAGGTGTAACCTACATAAACACTCTTGGGGGGCCGCAGGCTGGAGATTATAAAGAAGCTCTGGGACCAAATGTTTGATGTTTTGTTTGGTAGCATTGAGTTTCAGCCCCCTGTGCCTTGGCACCACCTGTGACCTACACTACAAGAACCTAGTGACAGTGATGTGTTTGGAAAAGAAGCTGGTAGCTAGGCAGACAACTCTATGGAATCCAGTGGCACATCTTTTCACATTGAGCTCCCTGAATGGAGTACTTCCTCAGTGAACATTGCAGCCCTGTCTTCAGGGATTCTGATCCTGCAGGTTGGGGGAGCCTGGTGTCTTGGTTATGTCCGTGTTGCTGGGACAAAATACCAGACACCCACAAGTTAAAGGAGGAAGGCTTTATGTTGGCCTATAGTTTGTAGAGGATTAAATCCATAGTCGGCTAACTCCAAGGCAGGGTGGTTTGACAGAGGGTGTGGCAGAGGAGAAACAGTCCATGGCAGGGAAGGCAGGAGGCAGCAGCAGTGAGCCTTCTTTACCCTCTCTCCCTTTATATTCCATCCAGGCTACAAGCCTGTTGGTGGTGCCACCCACACCCAGGGTGGGGCTTCTGTCTTCCGTAAATCCACTCAGCCCCACACAGAACTACACTAAACCAGTCAGTGGGCTGATTCATTTGTCAAACATCCTTAATCCGGCGTCACACACCCATGACCCAGCCACTTCCAAAAGGCCTACCTATAAGCACACGAGGCTTTGAGGGGACATGTAGATACAAGCCATGACACCTGGTGCCTGAAACTTGGAGAGGCATGGGGCGCTGCTTGCGTTTGTGTCCTGGGTCCTGGTTGAGGGGTGCTGGCTTTGGTGCTCCTTTCTCACTGCACTGGCCTGGGAATCTGTTGTGGATCTTGGCCATGGTGACAGGTGTGCAGTGATCATCAGTTTTAGTTTTCATTTCTCTGATGGTTTTGGACATCTTTATGTCTCTTCTTTTTTTGTCATTTAAATATCTTTCTGATATATTTGTTTACAGTGTACTTTTTTCTTTTTTGAGAGGGGCTTTTGGTGTGGAGCCCGGGGTTGCCTAACCATGTGATCCTCTTGCCTCAGCCTCCCAGATGTTGGGATGGCAGGCGTGTACCACCATGCCTGGCTCACTTACCCTTTTATCAGATTGCTTTTTCCTTCCCCTTACCGAGTGTCGAGTGTTCTTTGTGTGTCTGGGTGCAGGCCCTTTGTTGGATGTAGTTTGTGAGACAGGGTCTCGCTCATGCTCGGGCTGGCCTTTTGAACTTGTGGCGATGGTCCTGCCTCACCCTTCCGAGGGCTGGGATTACAGGCATGGCCCCCATGCCTGGCTTGTTGGATATGTGTTTTGCAAGTACTTTTTCCTCAGTATTTTCATTCCTGTAACTGTTCTTTGCAGAGTAAAACTTTGTAGTCTTGTTGAAGTCTAGTTTATCAATTTAAAAAAAAAAAGGTATCTCCTTTGGCTGTTGTTGTTTTCCAAAGGGACCTTAATCTTGCTCCTCTGTTTGGCCCATCTGAATTAATTTTCATACATGGTGTGTGTTATAAGTTGAGGGTTATTTTTGAGTTTACCAAGAAGCCTTTTCTTTTTCACATTTAAGTTTCTGTGTTCTTATTCTGAAGATTAAAGATGTTAAAACAGCTTTAAAAAACATTGATGGGCCAAGCAGGGTGGCACTCACCTGTAATCCCAGCTGCTTGGGAGACTGAGGCAGGAGGATTGCCTGTGCAGTTTAGACCCTGTCTCAGGGTAAAAATAAGTAACTCGAAGGGCTGGGAATATAGCTTAGTGTGAAGGCCCTGGGTTCAGTTCTCAGTACCTAAAAAAAAATTGGTAGCATGGAATTGTAAGGTTGGAGCAGGGTATGGTGGCGAATGCCTGTGATCCCAGCACTCGAGAGGCTGAGGCAGGAGGATTGCCATGTGTTCAAAGCCAGCCTGAACTACATGGCAAGACTTTGTCTCAAAAAAACAAACAGAAAACATGCAAATAGAATTATAAAGTTGGCCCTGGCATCAGTAAAATTTTTAAACAGCGTTTTATTTTTCTGTGGTTTAAAACTAACAAAGCAGCTGCGCACACCGCTCTCAAGGCCTGCCCACCCTCTGGCTGTTTCATAGCACCGCCCATTGCCAGGGTGCGGTGTGCATGTCGCTGAGTCTCCAGTGGGCGCTGACTTCCCTGAGCTCCACGCGTCTTACTCTTCGCTTGCTGCCCAGTGCCCACGCGCTGGTCCCATGTCCAGTGAGTGTGAGGCCGCTGCTTTCCTTCCGCAAACTTCCTAGGTGGCTCTGGACTCTGGGCCTCTCAGCCTTCTCTGTGTGACCTTGACAGGTTTGAAGATGACGTCTCGGTTCAGCTTTGTCTGTCCTCCTCCTGACTGGACAGGGTGTTCTTAGCACCCTGTCAGGGTCTGTGGCTCCTGGTGTGACCGTGCTGCTGGGCGCTCTGTGCTCCTGCTCCAGTTTCCTTGCACTGGTTTCCGGCCAGTGGGGCCAGCGGGGCCAGCAGGGCCAGTGTCCCTTCTTTAGTGTTTGAATTTTCACCTCTTTTCTGGTTAATCGGCTTGAGGTTTATCAATCCTTTTATTTTCAAGGACCCACCCAGCTTTGGATTTCTTTGCTTTTTCTCCTCTCTGTTTGTTTTAATTTCGTTGCTTTTTGTTCTTATTTCCTAATGCACACTGAGTTTAGTTTTTTTGTAGATTTTATTGTGTAAAATAGTTATTGATTTGAAATCTGTTTTCTTTTTAGTAAAAGTATTTTATGCTGTAAATTTCCCGCTAAGTGCTGTGTTACCTACCCTACATCTGTTGATGTATTTTTATTCAAGTAAAAAAATTTCCCTTGAGTCTTTCTCTTTGGCCCACATATTGTCTGTTGGTTTTGCTCCAAATACTGGGAGATCCTTCAGGACTGTTCTTATTGATTTCTACTTTAGTTAGTATTAGACAGCATACTCTCAGTATTGAGTTATTTTGTATTGGAGAAGCTTGTTTGTGAGCCCAGCTCCCCGGAATTGGGCTGAGCACCGTGAAGGACGCGGCTCTCTCTGGAGAGGTCCTCTGCACACCCAGGCAGGCCCTTGGGAAGCTGAGCTGCACGCGAGCACGTCGCGAGGGAGGCTGTCTTCCTGGAGAGCTGGCCTTGTCACCGCTGGCCCCAGCAGGTCCCTTAGTCCTGACAGCATGCGCCTCATCTGTCTTCCCCTCTGAGGGCTCCTGGTGGCAGTGTGTGGAGGGCCTCAGCTCGCCCTTCTGTGCCACACTGCCCCTCGCTGTCTGTGGTGGCAGTGTGCTTCTGGTGTCCTGGGGTGCCGGCCAGTGTTGCTGTGTTTCGTCACTGGCTGTGCCTGTGGGTGGACAGCACACTGCAGGGTTGTGGAGAGGGCGCAGCATGTGGCCCGAGGGTCCGGTCACGTCTTCGCCCTGTGCTTTGAGTTTGGCTGGGGTGTGGGAGCCCGACGCGCCCTGCCTGAGAGGTGGAGGCCAGAGCCCTGCGGGGTCTCGGGGGTGGAGTCACCCCTGCTTTCCTCCTCAGTCTCCCGGCTTCCATCTCCCAGGCATTTCAGTCTCCTTTAACCAAGAGTTTCCCTTTTCTGTCCAGTTTCTTTTCCTTTACGCTTATTTTAAAAATCGCCTTGTTCTCAGCTTGGCGTTTGGAAGAGAGGAAGCAAACACCATCTCTGGCCTGTGTGGGGCCGCGCGAACCGTTTGTCCGACTGTTCTTGGCAGGTCCTAACCGTGGGCCTGGAGCCGTTCAGAGGCTTTTTTCCTTTTTGAGAATTTTCCCCCGTTTGCGATGCACATTACATTTATTTTGGGGCATTGGTAGATATATGTATCGTGTCTTCATCATTGTTGAGCCCCCTCTGCCTCCCTCCCCACCCCTTCCCTGTCTCCAAAAAGTCTTCCTGTTGCCTCTCATCTGCCCTTTATTTTGCTTTTTATTTATATTTTATTTTAATTATTTATTTATTTTATTTATTTATATTTTGGCTTCTCATATAAGAGAAACCTTCAATGTCTGATTTTTTCACTTAACATTATAGCCTCAAGATCCATCAATTTTCCTACAAATTACCAGGATTTATCCTTCTTTATGGCTGACTAGTACTCCATTGTGTACATGTACCACAGTGTCTTTATTTGGCCGTCTGTTGAGGGCATCTCGGCCATTTCCATGATTTAGCTGTTGTGAATTGCACTGCTGTAAACACGGGTGTGCACGGATCACTGTCATGTGCAGGCTTCAGCTCTTTTGGGAAGACACTCAGGAAAGGTGTAGCTGGACCCAGTGGCATTTTTAATTTTTTGAGGCATCGCCATGCTGATTTCCACAGTGATGTCCTACTTTACATTCTCACCAGCAGTGTAGCTGACCCCTCCTTCCCCACTTCTTGCTAGCATTTGTTGTCTTTTGTGAGTCCTGGATGCTGGCCATTCTTGCTTTGATTTGCATTTCCCAAATGCCCGGAGATGCATTGGACATTTGTATTTCTTCTTTTGAAAAGTGTCTGTTTATTTCAGTTGCTCATTTTTTTTTTTTTCAATTGCTCATTTTTTGATAGAGGTCTTTTGGTTTTTGGGTTGGTATTTTTTTTTTTTTTTTTGGTACTGGGGGATCGAACTTGGGTCCTTGTGCTTGTGAGGCAGGCGCCGGAACTACTGAGCTAAATCCCTGGCAAATTTTTTTGAGTTAGGTATTCTGGGTATCAGTCCTCTCTCAGAGGAGCTGCTGGCAAAATTGTTTCTCCATTCTGAGGGTCGTCTCTTCAATCTGTTGATTGTTTCCCTTGCTGTGCAGAAGCTTTTAAATGTATTATAATCCCCCTTTTTGATTCTTGGAATTATTTCTTGTGCAGTTGGAGCTCTGTTCAGCGAGTCCTGGCCTATGTCAGTGTCTTTAAGTGTTTTGCCTGTTTTGTCTTTCAGCAGATCCAGTGTTTCTGTTTTTATATTGAGGTCTTTGATGCATTTTGATTTGGTTTTAGCACAGGGTGAGCGATATGGGTGTAGACTCATTTTTCTGTACATGGTTATCCGTTTTCCCGGCAGCATTTGTTAAAGAGGTTGTCTGTTCCCGTGTTTGTTTCAGCCCCTTTGGCGAGACTCACGCTGAAGATGCATGAGGCTGTCTGTATTCTGTTCCGCCTTTTGGTCTGCATGCCTGTTTTTGTCCTGGTTATGGCAACTTTGTGGTGTAGCCTGGAACCTGGATTGTGCTGCATCTTGCTTTGCTCTTTTGGCTCAGGATTGCTTTGGCTGCTCAGAGGCTTTCTCGACGGGTCCTTCTTCCCCTGTTCCATGTCTGGACCCTGACTTTTCCTGTTCTTTGTCCATCAGTGATTATCAATCCAGTTTCTTTTCTGTCTCCTAGGTTTTTCTGACCATTGGCCTGTTGCTGTCTCTCTCCTGTGTTTTATAGAACTCTAGTTTTACCTCTTCACTCATTCATTTCATTATGATTTCTCAGTAGCTTTTCTGTCTCAGTTAAGGCTTGGGGAAGGTGGGAGGTAGACTTTCCAACCAATCCATTCCCTGGGACTGTGAGCCCTGGTTGGAGGAGCCTCACCTGCTCGGTAATGATGTGCGTCCTTTTGTTTACCTTTCAGCTTGGTAGTAACATGTGTCCTTTTATCTGCTTTCAGCTGGCGTAGCCCAACAGTTCCAGTTTGCTGTACGAGTCATTGGCAGCAACTTTGCCCCTACTGTTGAAAGAGATGAGTTCCTAGTAGCTGAAAAGATCAAGAAAGAACGTATGTATTTTTCTTAAATATTCCTTGTTGGAGCATGAAACTTGTCAGCAATATATATGTGCAAGTTCATGTGTTTGTATGTGTGCAGTTCCCAAGCATATTTAGAGTATAGGTACTATTAAAGATAAGGACAACTCAGTTCTCAGAGTTAAGACTAAGAGTGTAAGCAGAGTACTGTTGTAGCAGTACACCTGGGCTCTAGGTGTGGAAGACAAAAGGCTTGCTGTGGCTTCCCCTTTCTGTGCTTTGCAGCATTAGTGTTACATCCTTTTGAGCAGACAGCACAGTGCACCATCTTGGTCTTGGCGAATGGGTCATTGCTTTTCTTCATGGTCTCTGCCTGGATTTTCGTGCTGTAGGCCATGCCAGCTTTAGTCCAAGGGGTACGTGGGCTTCCTGAGTGCGTGTACAGCCAAGAGGGAGGCCGTGTGAATGGTGAGCCGTCTGCAAGGTGGGGCCGCCTGCTCCACTCTGGAGGTGGGAAGCGTGGCCCTGAGCAGCTGGTGGCCCGCAGGAAAGTGGTCCCGGCCCCAGGGGAAGTGGCTTGTGTTGCTCCCTGCACCTGGGCTGTGCGAGCATGCTCCTGTCGGGCTTGCAGCTGCACTGAAAGAGGCCTTTCACCTTCCATCCCTCTCCCCGCAGGCCTCCGGTGAACCTGCCCACATGAAGCTGGCCTTGTGTCTTAGTGTCCTGGCAAACTGTCTGTGTAGCTCTCGGCAGTTGTTCGCAGGGCACAGATTCCCACAGCCAGCTGTTGTGAACTGCTTAGGCCCAGTAGACTGTAAGGATGTCAGCCGTGTCCCTAGCAACGTGAAGAACTGGCTGCTACCGAGAGTGAGCTGTGCTGTCAACATAGACCAGATGCATTTGTGTCTGTCTCTCCACGATGCCAGGGTTTATTGAGTAGTACTGAATTCATGAGCTATGTCAGTTTCATCAGCCTCATTGGCCAACTTAGAATTAGTATGTTCAGAGCTAAATGCAAGCCCAGCATGGTGGCACACACCTGTAATCCCGCTATTTGGGAGGCTGAGGCAGGAGGACCACAAGTTTGAGACCAGTCTTGGCAACTTAGTGAGACTCTCTGAAAGTTAAAGAGAGGGTACAGGGGAGGCCTGGGGATATGGCCCTGGTAGTGATCTTGCTTAGCATGTGCCAGGCCCTGGGGTCAATCCGTAGTCCAGGGAGGGGGAAAAGAAAGCTAAGTGTGGTAGGTGGATGAGGTTTTTGTAAAGACCCACTCGTGAGACGGGATAAACAGGTTTGCTGGAGGGGTCACCTTGTCAGGTGGCTTTAGGAGCGGCCCCTCTCCTGGAAGGCATGGCACTTTCCTCAGAGCACCTGCGGGAGTGGTGTGTGGTGTGGTCCTGGTTCCTGCCTTTACAGTGGCTTCTCCCTTGTTCCGGAACCAGACCATGGATGAGCTTGTGTTTGCTGCTGCTTCTTTCAGTACAGTAGTCTGCGTGCAGCGGGGACACTCGAAGACACCAATACGATGAAAATTCACTAAAAGACTGTCTTTATCTTGAAATGGTAGTTGAGTACATTTCACCTAAAATGCGATGAAGTATTCCTGTGTTGTACCCTAACAAAAATGTTCAGAGGTGTAGTTTTCGAGTCAGATTAACTGTCAAGAGTGCTTTACTTTTTGGTTATTGCTCTTTGATTTAGGATTCCAGCGGTGTTTTCACCTTCCATCCCTCTCCCAGTAGCTGTTATTAACTAATTAAATTGATGCTCGATGGCTCATTGCTGATGAGTTGTTTTCAGATAGACTACAGTGATTCCATTGTTTCTGTTCGTGAATTCTCACATAAATGCTTTGATCCCAGCATAATGCACTCCATATTTTACAAATGTCAGAGGTTGGACGGATGACCAGACTCAGAGCTGCAAGCCACTCCTGGCCGGGTTTGGACTCTCACACTCAGGGTTCTTTTTAGCCCCTTGAGCTGCCTGTACCCTGGGTGACATGGTGCCGGAGTGTGTCTCCTGTAGATGAGTCACAGCTGGTTTCTTTCCTGACTTTGCAGTTATCCGGCAGAGGAGAGAGGCGGACGCAGCACTGTTCTCTGAGCTCCACAGGAAGCTGCACTCGCAGGTAGGTGCGGGGGTCCGAAGTCACTCTGTGGTGGAGGGGCTCCCTGGGAGGGGACGCGTGAGCAGCCTCCGTGGTGGCGTGTGAGACTCTTCTGTCGTCACGGCGGGCTTTGAGCGCCTCAGCCTGGTTTCCGGCCTTTGTGCCTGTGACGAGGAGTGAGTCTGGGGCCCACGTGGACCGCGCGCTAGGTGTGCGCTGCTGGAGGGAGTGTTAGCGCGAGTTGTGCCCAAAGCTCCAAGGCTCGGCAGAGGCTCCCCCGGTGAGCCCGGGCCCCTCAGGCCTGGCTCCTGCGGCGTCCCGGGGCCAGTTGGTGGCGGCAGCCAAAGGAAGACTGTGTGGTTTTGTGATTGAGTGCCTCCACTTGAAGACAAGTGGTTTTCCTAACCTGGTGCTTTACAGAGTCTGTGTTGGTAAATTAATGAGGCACAGTGTGAGCTTTCTGCGATTTCTGACTGTAGCAGTACTGCATTAATCTAGCTTTTGTGTTCTTTTGTAGAGAAGAGTGAATCCAAAGAGGTTTCATACTTTGTTCGACAAATACTAAGTCAGTGTGGCAGTAAAAACCACTGCGGTGGGACAGTGCTGCTGGTAATAAACTCCCACGTTGTGAATCTTCAGGTAGTTTTGCCCTTAAAACAGCCTTAAGTTTATATGCTGTTCTGATTCCTTAATTCAGTGTGCTTGGATTCACTGTTACAACCGTGCCTTTTCATCCTTGATAATATTTACAAAGAAATAGAAGCTTTTTTTGCTACACTCATTTCCAGGCAGATTGTTTTAAACTGAGGTATCATTTCTAAAAATAACTTCTGTACTTTGGATGTAACAAAAATGTGCATCTCAGAAGTCAGATTTCCCAGGACAGCCTTGCCAGGATCTCACATGGAGACTCCCCCCAAATCCTGCTTTGTTGTGGATATGTGGACTGTTGGATGGGAGTGTATTAGAAGCTTTGTAACAAAACGGTTTTCTCCAAAAGTTAGGAAGCCTGAGTGTTTGTTTACTCCTGAACATTGATGTCCTAACTGGGAGCCTTGTCCCGGAACTGCCCCAAGACTAACCTGGTTGATATTTTCATAGTGTATCCAAAACATGACAAAAAGTAAAGGAGACAGTATAGCACTAGTCAGGGATGTGAAAAATGCAGACAGATTCTAGTCTTGTGGTAAGAACAGCCAGGTCCTCCAGAGTGACAGGTGCTTGGTGGCACTCCGTCCGTCTCCTCAGTGAAGGCCCCGCGCACGCGTGCGTGTGTGTGTGTGGTGTGTGTGTGCGTGTGCACTGCGCCTGTCCTGACCCATGAGGAAGGGGTCCAGATGCACGGTGCGGGGCTGAGGGCAGGAGGTGGCGAGTCTGGGGTGGGAGCACACTGTGCAGCGGGCCTGATGAGGCAGGGACAGGGCAGTGGGGACAGAGTGTGCGGGGCTGTGGTGGGGACCCTGGTGGGGACCAGGAGTCAGGTGCGACCTTGCAGGTGCTGGTAGAGCTGCACTGATGTGGCTGAGTAGCTCTGCAGAAGTGACCGCTTCGCACGCCTCCACCTCATGTGTCCTGCGACTTGCTGAGCAACTGGTTCGTACACGGTTTTGCAAGCTTTATGTGTGAGTTGGGCCCTTTTATGCTGAGAAGCCTGAGGGGGTTGAGTGGTTTGAAGAATGGATGCTCCTACAGTGGTTGGGGTGATTTCTGCGTGATGTCTTGTGCTCCCTGCCTTCCGAGCTTCACTGGGAAGGACTGATGCCCTTGCTGGAGGTGTGGGGTGGGAGGACAGTGCCCAGTGGTGCCCACGACTCCTCGGGTGGCCCCGGTTGCACCCACCCCACCCCTGCAGCCTGGGGGTGGCCCTGGCCGTGGTACCTGCCCTCTTGCTCCTGGCTCTGGAACACACTTGGGCTCACACTGACACTAGCCCCTGAGGGATCTTCAGTAGACTGACCCTGGCTGAGCTTTGTGCGCACACTTTCGTTCCTTTTGGGACCTTTCATCACCCTTCACCCATACACACTTTCTTGTTTTTTTGTACTGGGGATCGAACTCAGGACCTTGGCCCTGTGAGGCAGGCGCAGCGTCATGCATACTTTCTGAGGTGAGAGCTGAGATTTGAACCCATGCGTTATTGCACAGGTGGGACTTACTCTGTCATCTCCCCATGCTGCTGGCTACTGGCTACTTTCCTGGGACTTCCTTAGGGTTCCCCATGGAACACGTGGCTCGGTGTTCTCACAGCTGAAAGGAGCATTTTTTCTTCTTTCACAGCTCGGTGTCATCTTGTTCTCTCCTGTGTGTGATCCTGCCATTGCTCTTGCCGCTCCCTTGACTCCAGGTCCTGGGCCTGCCCTCTGAATGTGCCTTTGTGTGTCCTTTTGGCTTCAGGCAGGCCTTGGTCTGCAGCTGGCCTGCAGGTTAGGATGCCAGCACATGATTTAGGTCTGCACTGTCTCAAGTGTGGAATGAGGAGAGTGGTCCTGTCATGGCCCGTGTGATGCAGGAGAGGCTGGATGAGCTGTACTTGGCCCTGTGGGCCCTTCCTCTAAATGGCAGCTGCTGTTACAACTGACTGCTCCACAAAACGTGGAGGAACACCTTAGCGGTCGTCAGTATAGCAGGGGGACCAAATCCACTGCTGGTCTTGGGCTAGAGCCAGACCCTGAGGCCCAGAACCCTGGTCCCTGTAATGGGGGATTCTAGGCTGAGAGGCTGAACGTAACTCAGCTGCAGTTCTCCTCAGGTGGCTGCTATCTTCCTGGGTGCCCTCCAGCCATCCCTCCAGCTCACAGAAGCGATGGTTTGCACCTGCAGGGGCCCTTCAGCGGCTTCCTGTGGTCTTGTTTAACCAGCTGTCCTGGCACAGCCTGTGAGGCCCCGTGCGTTGTGGTCCGTCTCCACTCTGACTCCTGGCTGTGGCAGATTGGTCTGTTCACACGGCTGACCTTTCAGGGACCTGAGCCTCCTCCAGAAGTCCTTTTGTGAGCCATGAAGTGCCACTTGTCATGTTGATTTGTCTGCTCATCTCTCTGCCACTGTATCGTGACTCCAAAGAGACTTTCAGGGCATATTTTATGTAATGTGGGGCAGCGTCCGGGGATTCATGCTGTAACTGAGGGTGTGCGCGTATGCGTCCTGCAGACCCAGAACGAGGGTGTGTGAGGTGCGTGAGTCTGGTTGCCGTGGTGCATGGTGGCAGCAGGCGGTGTCCACGTGATACCTGGAGCGCAGCCCCATGGTCAGCTCTCCTGGCTGAGGAGGGTTTGGGAGCAGAGTCTGGAGTTTGGGTCTTCCTGGGGCTGAGATGCCTGTTCTCTGGTCTAAGGGGACAGCAGGAAAGAAGGCATATTTCACAGGCTTTATGATGCAGTTTACCTTAGGGTTACTGTGGGCATTTCTAAGGATTTTGGGGGGTGACTGTACTGCTGTTCAGAAATAGGCTGATAGGTGGGAGTTGTTCTCGTGAGGGGCTTTGGAGTTGAAGGCCCATGTGTATCGGTACAGAACATCCGCTCCAGGCTGCAGTGCGCGGTGTGGTGGATGGGACGTGAAAGGAGCACAGGCTTGAGGTTAACAGGTGAATTTTAAAATGCATTTCTATTTTGGAAATAAGTATAATTTAGGAGAGGGAAAATTAAAGTGAAGCGCTGTATAAAATAATTTAAAATTATTTTTCTGAACAGGGAGTTTTGAAAAATAAGTGGTCCATACTCTACCTCCTGCTGAACCTCAGTGAGGACCCTCGCAAGCAAGCTAGCAAGGTAAGGCCGACGCCACAGCTGGAGAAGAGCAAGTAGGTCTGTTGGGGAGGCTGAGCACTTTCCTTTTCTGTTTAAGGGCTTCTTCAGCGTGCAGTTTCCCTGAGATGTGTTTCAGAGTCAGGTTATTCCGATACAACAGCGTGCAGTTAGTTAAATTGAGCCTGACTTGGTGGGTTTCAGACTTGTGCTTTGTATGGTTACCGACGTAAGCACAGGCGGCCCCTTCTGTCTGGGAAGGAAGAGCCAGGAGCTGCTGCGCTCTGCAGTCAGGGTTTTAGCAGCCCTGCTCCAGGGCGCTTCTGGCTGCTGGCCGGCTTTGGCAGGCAGTGTTGGAGAGTGCACTGGCGGCAGACTCCTGGCGCTGTGTGCAGGCGGATACCTCTGCAGACCTCAGGGCTGAGGAGCTGAGCAGTGTGGGCCAGAGTTAGATGTAGCACTGGAGCCTGAGTACTGAGCTCTCTTCATTATAGATAATATCAGACTTGTATTTTTTATTATTTTTAAAATTAAAAATTTTATTAGTGGGCCGGGGTTTTCTGCTGCGCAAGCACAAGGACCCGAGTTTGATCCCCGGTACCAAAAAATGAAAAAAAAATGTTCTTAGTACATTTGTAGTACATAATGTTTACATTCATCTTAGGGAGTGGAGTGCATGTGCTTAACATACCTTAATTCATTTTATTCTCCTTCCCCTTCTTTTCCATCTCTAGTTCTCCTTTCCATTTGCAAAAGATCCGTCTCCATTTCCTGTTGTCTTTTTATTTTGATTTTCTAAAGCTTTTACACAGCAAAGGAAAGAATAGTGAAGAGACAACCTACAAAATTGGGAAAAAAATTTTCTATCTACACCTCTGACAGAGGATTAATATCTAGACTTTACAAATAACTAAAAAAAAAAAAATCAGACTCCCCCAAAATAAAAGACTCAATAAAAAAAAGGGCAACCGAAATGCATAGACACATCTCAGACATCCAAATAACCAATAAGTGCATGAAAAAATGCTCAGTATCTCTGGCCATCAGAGAAATGCAAATTAAAGCGACGTTAAGATTCCATCTTAAGTGGAAAGAATGGTCATCATCAAAAAAGTCAGACTTCTAAAACTTACTTGACTTCTAGTTTACATGGATTTGGAATAAATGAGGTGCTTAGTAGTTAGCCATTGAAGGAGCTGTTGTTTTAAAACTGTCAGTGCTGGTAGATTTCAGAAACATCTTAGCCAGCACATCGCTCAGTGGTGAGCGGTCCACAGCCAGTCCCAGGGCGGGCAGGGGCACCAGCTGTCCTCTGAGGGGCTGCTGCATGACGCCCTGTCCCTGGACCTCTGCTTTCATTTCAGGTGTCCAGCTATGCTTCCCTGTTCGCGCAGGCCTTGCCTAGAGATGCCCATTCCACTCCCTACTACTGCGCCCGGCCACAGACGCTCCCGCTCAACTACCAGGACCGGAGCACCCAGGCGGTGCCCAGCGTGGGCAGCCTGGGCAGCAGCGGCATCAGCAGCATCAGTGCGTGCACCCTCGGCGGTCCCGGGCCTGGCCCGCAGCCTCTGTTCCCGGGGTAACGCTCCTGACATGGCCAGGCTGGTGGGGTGGGTGTCCCAGGGCTCCCGGCTGGCTGGGGCCTCGCGTGTGCCCCCAGCATGCTGGGCAGAGTGTCCAGCTTTTGTGGAGGCCATTTACGCCGGCTCTGTCCAAGTAATAGAGGGTGTAGGTTATCCTCAGGCTGACAGTTCTGGTGTGCTATGTGCAGGAAAGCAGATGAGGGCGCCGAGGTGCGCAGGGCTAAGATGTGACAGTCCTTGTAGTTTAGCCTGCTGCCCACTGGATTGCATTCTGAGGCCATACTGAGCTCATGGTTGAGAAGAGCAGATGCAAGGGGCCTTAGAGGACCTTCAGAACCTTGTTTTCAAGTACATGCTTCGTGTGGAGGTTGTCAGGTGGCTTTGCTCTTTGCCGCTGTTCATTCCTGGGAATCAGAATGAAGCAGGTGATCCTGTGGTGGTATTTTCCAGAACAGTGGCAGGGACTTAGCATAAGAACCTGGTGTTCCACAGGAGCACAGAGTCCCAGTTTACTTTGTGAGTAGCGAGGCTGTGGGATAGAGGGTGGGACAGGAGTACCGTGCAGGGAGGACCAGGGGCCAATGTGTTCTGGGGCGGGCAGCTCACACGTTCACAAGCAACGCCCGGCAGAGGTTGTCTGACGCTCATGCTCTGGCCAGGCGCTGGAATGCTTCTTGGCACTGTGTAAACAGGTGAGTCGAAAACTCTGGACCGAAGCAGTCTTTCAGCATCAGTCTCTTCAGTTTGCAAAGATGTGGTCTTAGCAAGTGTGTTGACTTTTCCCTTTGAGAATAAACTGCCTCCCTGTCCTCTGGGCTCTCACGGGTGCAAGTGTGCCCGCTGGTGTGGCTGGTGCTGATGAAAGCTCTGGCACCTCAAGGAGTGCTTAGGAGAGTCCTGCATGTGGATTTGCAGCCCCGGAAGTGAGGCTCTGGATGCACTTGTCGGAGTGTGTTTGTTAGAAGTCAGCTGTCACGGGCTTCCATTTTCAAAAACTGGTAGTGGGGTGTTCTCAAAATTAGTGAACAACTACCGTGGTGTGAAGGTGCATTTGCCCTCCACTTCTAAGTTAATTGAAATCAGTGCCTCTTCCCCCATGGGCTTGAGGACAGGCAGTATGTGAGGACAGGCTGATGGTGTGGCTCCCTGTGTTTAAGCCCCTCTGCCCAGGAAATGTGGAAGTCTCATTTAGCTGTGAATCGCACAATGGTTCTGTGTGAGGAATGTGTGCCATGTGTGTAGAGGAAAGTTGGACAGAGCAGAAGTATGTCTGGGTGGCAGGGCGGAGCGAGGCATCCCCCACGCTGCAGTGTGGCCCGAGTGCTGGGCCAGGCCCTGGAGGGGCTGACGGGCCAAGGGACCTTGCCTATCTTGTGATTGTGCTCCTTGGGGAAAGCCGTGGTGTCGCCTCTCCTCTCGTGAGTTAAGTAATTTGGGGGAGGAACACGAGGAAGCTCTCCAGGAAGGGCTGTGTCTTTTGGTGAACAGGGTGGCTGTGGAAGACATGAGTGTCACTTCCTTCCTCTAGACAGTCCCATCAAGGCCCCGGTGTGGGGGACTGCCTCCGACAGCCGTTGGGCTCACGCCTCGCGTGGACTCTGACTGCCAGTCCACCGTCTTCCCAAACCCCGACTTCCAAGGGTGTCCCGAACGCAGTGTCCCGCAGCGTGGCACGGTCCAGGAGAGACGGGGACTCGAGTGGTAAGGATGGGTGTCAGCTTTCAGAATTCTCCCTTCATTCAGGCCGACCCAGACCTCCGTGTCAGAGGTTCCTGCTGTTTGTCCTGCAGCCTAGGTCCCTGCTGTGGCCTGTTCTGTGGGAGTCACTTCCTGGCCCTGGCTGGCCATTTCCTGGTGCCCCTGCTTTTCGCCTGGCCTCTGCATGATCTGCTGTCTCTGTGCTGCTCTTCCTGCCTCCTCCTCACAGTCCCTTCCTGTCCCATCCCACTGTCGCTCCTGGGAAGCTTGTGCTGCTCATTCCCAGCCTGAGTCCCACGAGGGGCACGTCCATCTGGTGACAGTGGCAGTGCCCGGGGCGGTGCCCGAACACATGAGCGCGTGGACGGACTGCGTGCATGTGCATGCAAAGGAAGACCGCCGTGAGAGATCTGAAGCCCTGCTGTGCTCCCCGGCCGAGCGAGTGTCTCATGAGCACACTGCAAAGAGCAGCATCTGACCCATGGGAGTCCAGAAGACCAAGCAATGGCTCTGCTTGAGGTCACTGGGTGCTGCCTGTCCCTGCTAGAGCACCAGGGTTTGGAGACTTTGGGAACTGCGAGGGCATCGTGCTGCCCTTGGCTGTTGCAGTGTGCCCAGCCTTGCACAGCTTTCAGTCCTGAGAGCCGCTGCGTGTGCCAGCTTGTGCCCGCCCACAGCAGCCCTGCGTGATCGTGTTGGATGCCGGTCTGTTTCTAGACACGGTCAGAGGCTGTCTTCCTGACTCCTGGCCAGTGCCATGAGTGTGTCCCGTGGAAAGACGAGAGCACAGTGGACTTGAACAGGGAGAAGCAGGCAGAGAGGGTCGGGGCAGAGCAGTGTGGCAGGAAACAAGGAAGCTGCTTCAGGCCAGATGCGTTAGGAATTCCATCGAGGAGGAACACTAGGTGTAGAAGACAGGTGTTTTAAAAACAGTTCCATTCAGACAACTGTGTCTTGGGCCAGGGATGTAGCTCAGTGGTTCCGCTGCCTGCCTCGAAAGTACAAGGACCCAAGTTCGATCCCCGGCACCAAAAAAAAAGAAAAAAAACCCCAGACAACTGTGTGTTGCTTACCAAAGACAACTTAAGCTTAAGGACACAAGCAGGTTGAAAATAAATGGATAGGAAACCTGCATCTTGCAGACAGTAACTGTAAAGCAGGCGGGTGATCGTCATTGTCAGAGTGGCCTTCAAAGGGCAGGAGCGGGGACAGAGGGGCTGCGTAAGGAGTTCAGGCACATTCTTGAGAAGGCTCAGTGACCCTAACCCTGGATCCCACGTGTGCAGAGCAAGACAAACGGGCAGCCTGGAAAGGAAATGAAGCAGCCCGTGCTGCAGCCGGGTGAGTCCACTCCGCATAGCTGAGAGGCTACCAGAAGGAGCAGGCGGTGAAGTGCAGTGGGCAGCCTCCTGACGGACCTCCGGCGACTGTGACATGCACAGCTGTGTTCTGTCCCGCACACTGGTGCCGTGGGCTTCAGGTGCGGCCTCTGCCTCCTGCCCCTCGCCTGGGCCTCTCACCCAGTTCCATTTCTGACTGGGTGTGTGGAGGACTCTGGATGGTGGCACCGCAAGTAGCTTCTCTGTTGTGAAGGCTCCCTGGGGCCTGGGCCCCTCGTGGGGACCCACTTTACAGATGCCACCTGCCGAGTGACTGCGGGTGACCTGCACTGCAGGCCCCGTCTCTGGAAAGACTGTCAGAGGAGACGCTGTCAGCCGCCTCTGCCCTGGCCTTGTACCTCTTCCATTGGAAGCTCGTTTGTGGAGTATGCAAATGGTGTCCTGGTAGCAAAGATATAATCCAGAGCGAATCATGCCATGAAACATTTCATCTGGAAATGTATCATTTAGTGATTTCTATCTTTTATAAATGTTTTTATAGGTACTATGGAAATTACTGAAGCAGCTCTCGTGAGAGACATCTTGTACGTCTTCCAGGGCATAGATGGCAAAAATATCAAAATGAACAGCACTGAAAATTGTTATAAAGTAGAAGAAAAGGTACAGTAACATAAAATCTAGTTTAAAATATTCAAAAAGAAAGCTGCCCTGCAGTCCAGAGGTGAGATTTGACAGGGGCTCCTGGGATTGCTGGGCGGGGGCCCTGTGGCCTCTGGTGGGTCTGCGTCCTCCCCCAACATAGTGATGTCACCGGTGCCCAAGGGGCGGTGCCCTGGCCGGGGCTTGGCCACTGACACAGGATTCCAGGGTGGGGGTCTTGCTTGCCCCGGTTCCGTCTTCCAGAGTGGCCTCCCTGTTGCCTTGTTGTGTCACCCTATGACTCTCTCGGCCCTTCTCGGAAATGAAGGTTCCAGGCTGGGACTCCGGCTTCCTTCAGAGTGTTTTCCCTCCCTGTGCTTTTTCTCCCTTTACTGATTTATGTTAGGTACTTTTAACTCTCACATTGAAAGTGATGACATCTAAGCATAGAATCAAGAGCAGAAGTGATTGAGGAAAATAATAATGCAAATTCTAGTGTTGATTGTTAATTTTTGGTGTGCTTACGTTTTAGGCAAACCTGAACAAGTCTTTGCGGGACACAGCAGTCAGACTTGCTGAGTTGGGATGGTTGCATAATAAGATCAGAAAGTACACCGACCAGAGGAGCCTGGACCGCTCATTTGGACTAGTAGGTCAGGTACGTTCATTAGGACTCACTGTGGGAATGATGTTTAGTCTGCTCACGGTCTGCTATGAAAATGACTTCTAGTAGAGTTCTTTTTAAAGACGATGGTATTAGCTGGGTCCATAGAAGAAAGTGGAACCCACAGGAGGTGTTGGCGGAGCCCAAGGCTCCTCTGCCTAGGAAAAGGGGTTCAGAGAAGGAGGGGCCGTGGAGCAGGAAAGCTCCAGGGAGGGCCCTGCCCTGCCCTGCCCTGCCCTGCCCTGCCCTGCCCTGCCCTGCCCTGCCCTGCTCTGCTGCTGCCTCCCACAGGGTTAACGGGCAAGGTGTGGCCACACCCACAGCCGGGGCACCCTGAGATAGACTCCGAAGCTGCCGTGCTAGAGGTGGGACCCATTGGCTGGGTGACTGGGGCTGGCGCGCTGCCCCTGGAGCAGCGGCCGCCTTCCTTCTCGCTGCTGGAGCCTGGGAGAAGCAGCAGACAAGTAAACTGTAGCGCTGCTGCAGTCCCACTCTTCGATGGTGAGGCCGCCCGATGCCCCTGTGCAGCAGTCATTGCTGGGGAGGCCTCTGCATTTTGAGAGGTGTCCAGCAGCTCTGTGTTTGGAGCACAGTGGTGGCGGCGGCCGAGAGTGTGGCTCTGAAGGGAGACAGCCCAGGGTTCGCAGCTTGGCTTCACCCTGAGCCTAGCTACTTCCTGTGTCCTTGGTCTTTGGAGATGAGAGGATGTGTGTTCGCTGCCGGTTCCGAGTGGTCCTAGCGCATCCACTGTCTGGTGAGCTGCCGAAGACCAGCCACCATGCTGCTCCACTGTGGGGCCAGATGCTAAGGACAGGCCGGGCGTGGGATGGGTCCTCAGCACAGGCAGTGGCTCCCGGCGGTGGCCCCATGGCTCCTCCTAGCGGCAAGCAGGACTGCCGGCTCCTTGCTCGTCCCACAGGGTCCCGGTCATATCTTTGTTCCTGTCATCCGGTTGTGCACGCAGACTCCACCAGGAGGTCCTGGGGTAGGATAAGCAGTGAAACAAGTACAAAAGGAATAGAAGAAACTAAATGCTGTGTAGATATTCTAAGTGTATTTTCAAATTGATACATAAAGTGGTGCGTATCAGTGGGGTACCAGGGGAGGCTTCAACGCAGGAACATGTTGTATAAAGTTCAGATCCAGGGAAACATGCCTGTCTCCTCAGTTGCTTTTCCTGATGGTGACAGCATTCAGAATCCTTTCTCATGGCGGTTTGGAAATGTCTAGTCCGTTGCCATCTGGCATGGCTGTCCGTGCAGCAGCACAGAGAGCGTCTGTCTCTCGTCGCCCTGTGACTTTGCCTCCCTTCCCACCGCCCCGGCCTCTGGTCAGCGCTGATTCCCCACATGTGGGGCCGTGATGCTCAGCTGTTTCACCTAACATAGTGACCTCCAGCTTCGCCAGGTGCCTCCCTGCTGTCTGGCTGTTTGCTCATCCTGGACAGAAGGAGCCAGCCAGATGGGTGGGGCGGGTCACCCTTCGGTGAGAGCCAGGATGTCACACTAGGTCTGTCTGACTGCCCGAGCTGGGACGTTCCAGCCTAGGAGTCTCGCTTTCTAACGTTGCTTGTGTCTCCAGAATGAGTACATGAATGCTCACTTTTGTGTTAGTCACACAGTCCCAGCCCACAAAGCAAACATGCCGCAAACAAACTTTTGTGTATGGTTATATATTGGTTTAGAGTGTTTAGGAAGTGTGGCCTGCACGTGGATAGCGGGCAGCGGCTCTGGCCTTGGCAGCTGTGTCTCTGGCCCTGACTTGGAAGGTGGCGCTCTTGACCTCGCCAAGCGGCCTCCGCTTTGTGCCTGTGCGGTGGGCGCACAGGGCCGTGTGCAGGTCCATGAAGGCCCCTGTCGCTCGCTCCGAGGGTCGTTCTGATATGGCCCTCGTTGGGTTAAGACTGCGTGTGTACAGAGAAGATTTGAATTCTGTGCGTGGGAGAACAAGCAGTGTAAAGCAGGGCGAAATTGGGTTGGTACCGAGCCAGCAATTTTTAAGTTTTGTCAGTTGAGAACATTGTAAAAAAAGTTGTATTTTAACTGAAAATTTAGAAAGACATACTATCTAAAGGATAATTTCTCAAAATTGATTACACTTTTTTGGCTTCATGAAAACTGTACTACATTAAACGTTTTTCCTTTTGTAAAGTTTATGCTTTTTTATACAAAGGAATAATAACACTTCTCTGACATTACTGAAGTACATACTGTGGTGCTAAAGCTGCTAAGCAGACCGTTGACAGAACCAGAATTGAAATCACGCTGCACTCACGAAACTCACTGCAGGCACTGCGCCTCTGCAGTCGGAGGGCGTCTGCGGGTGGAGGCCTCCTTGCTTTAAGTGACTTCTCCTCCCACACAGAGCTTTTGTGCCGCCTTGCATCAGGAGCTCAAGGAATACTACCGGCTACTCTCTGTTTTACACTCCCAGGTAAATATTTTCTCTTTATTTTAAAATTGAAACATTATAGGATATTTAAGTTACTGTGTATATTAAAGCATAGCGGTCAGTGTTGGAATAATGTTTACGAGTGCCAAATAGCTATAAAGTTTCATTGTATCCTAGAGCCAATTAATTACTCATTTTCAGGGCCCTGTATACCATTTGAAGGCCCCTGGAATCTTGAAAGTACTACTGTTTTCTCAGAGGAGACCTTTGACTTCATTGTTTCCTTGTGGTCACTGCATATGCATTGAGAATTAATGTGCCTGGTGTTTTGTACTTACACTTTCCATGTTGTCTTTCAGCTACAGCTACAGGACGATCAAGGGGTCAGCTTGGGACTTGAGAGCAGCCTGACTCTGCGGCGCCTCCTGGTTTGGACCTATGACCCCAAAATAAGACTGAAGACCCTTGCGGCCCTGGTGGACCACTGCCAAGGTCCTTGGGGTCTCTTGTGTGTGCTTCTGCTGTGCCATGGTTCGAACTCCTTTGCAGGGCGGGCCATCCAGCTTTGCTTTTGGATGCTTGACAGCCATATGTGTGTTCACTGAGTGCAGACAGGGATGTGAGCTGCCAGGGAAAGTGAGCCGTTGTAATGTGGTCTGTGATTATCCTTGGGGAAGCTCAGGCTGTTAGGGAGGTGAAGGCTGGAAGGAGTGAGCCTCCAGCATGTAGAGGTGTGGCCTGGATGCCGGGCCTTGCCTGTGCCCCTCTGCTTGCCTTGTACCTGGCAGGCTTCTCTAGCATCTTTGCTTTCCTTCTGGGGTAGGGTCATATCCGTATTTGCTGTCTGTGTGTTGAAAATCCCCATTTCTGGATGTCTGGCTTAGCCCTCCCTTGGGCTCTAGCTTCTGTGTTTCCAGCTGCCTTCGGAACCTTTTTCCCACGCTTTGTGCTACTTGGCAGAAACTTCTCATGGACTGAGGGTATTGCCTCCACGGGCTAGGTGGGAGTTAAGGGTGAGTGGAGACAGTGTAAGGGTCATGCACAGAACCTGTGCTGCTGCTGTGTATGCTCGCGGCAGAATGGAGTGTGAAGCCCAGTCAGAAAGGTGTGAACAGCTGTGTGAGGTCTAGAGTGGGCAGCTAGTTGCTGTTTGCTGCTTTTGCAGTGTTAAACTCCTTTGCTGTCACGAAGGGAGCAGTACTCCCCTGGCTTGTGTAAAGCAACAGAGTCTTGCTGCTGGTGCTTCTGGGTCCAAAAGTGGTATTAATGGCGGGAAGTGGACATCCTTAATCTCAATGCCTTGGCCATCCTTGGTTTGAAGGGCTTGCTTTGTGCTGCGAATGTACACTGGGTGTTTAGTTTCATTCCCTGTTCCCCCAGGGAGGAAAGGAGGGGAGCTGGCCTCCGCTGTCCACGCCTACACAAAGACGGGAGACCCATACATGCGGTCACTGGTGCAGCACATCCTGAGCCTGGTGTCTCACCCCGTCCTGAGCTTCCTCTACCGCTGGATCTACGACGGGGAGCTCGAGGACACATACCACGAGGTGAGGTGGTGGGGTGGTGAGGAGGCATGGGCACCCCGTTCGCTTCGTGGTCCCCGTGGTTATCTGAACGGGAGGTGCCCACACTTCGCCTGAGTGCTGTGCACGTTTGCACCGTGCCTGGAGAGCTGTATTCACCTGGTGGAGAGTTCTTCTCCCAGCCTCAGCAGTGAGAAACTGGGCAAGGTCAAATGCTCGGTCAGGCGGAATCCTCGCAAGCTGTGAGGAGCTGGGTCTGGGCCTCCTGAGGCTGAGCATGCGTTCACATGTGGGTTGCTTTGCAGGGTTGTGCGTAAACTCACTCTGATCATCTGTGCCAAGAGTTTGAGTGAAGTGAATTATTTGTGTATGTGTATGTTTACTTTTTGAGCTAAGCCAGCTCTGCTATAATGCAACAGATGAGTTCTTAAAAATCTCCAGAATCCAAGAACCAGACAGTGGAAGCCATAGGGCTTTGGGGGAAAGAAGGTGGGGGTGTCACACTCACAGACATTGCTAGTAACATGGAAGGCGCCAGAAGGTTGGGATTCTCGCAAAGGTTAAGTGGCTCAGAAATATGTAGAGACTGCAGTCAGTGTGGCGGTAATCTTGAACGCACCCTGTTGCCTGCGTGGGCGTGGGTGGGAGGCTGAGCCGCCATGTCCATGTCCGTGTCCATGTCCCGGGAGGTGCTGAGGGAGCGGGCTGCTGGCTGAGGCGCGGCGGTCTCGCTGTGCAGGTGGCCGGCTCCTGTGTCTGGGCTCAGCCTGTTTCTCCCTGTGGGAACTGCACGTAAGCGCACATGGGGTGTGCGCTGTGCCCAGAGCCTCCTGACTCATCAGCGTGCTGTTGCAGCTCACTGCTTTCAGAACATTGTGTTGTGTGCTGCATGGAGACACATGGATGGGTTGCACATGTCCGTGTGTGTGTGTGTACACGTGTGTTGTGTAAGTCGATTGTTCGGTGCCTGTTTTCTTCATTACTTTGTACTATGTCGCTGTGTGGACAGATCAGTTTGTATTTGGCAGTGTTCCTGCTGATGGAGATTGTGTTCTCTGTGGTGTTTCGTATTAGGAGTGTTCTTAAATTGGACATCCTTTGGTGGGCTCCCTGTGCATGGTCTGTACTTCTCCAAGGTTGGCACTGGAGTTGCTGGCTTGTAGGAATGCAGCCTTTAACACGTTCCGCTGGTTTGAGCCACCGGTGGTACATGTGTGACTGTCCCATCGGGCAGCTTGTGCTGCTGGGGCTACAGATGGATCTAATACTTTCCATAGGTCTTTTTACTAATAAACTTAATAAAAAGCGGCCTGATGGGACAGTCCTGTGTATACCACCTGCAATTTAAGTAGCCCAGCAGCGAGACTTGTGAAGTATGGCCCGCTGTGAACGTGTTAAAGTCTTATTCTGCCAGTTTGAGCCCTCCAGTGGGTCTGTCAGTTACCCAGCCACAGGTTCAGTGTCTCTCATTGGAGCACCCGGAGTCTGAAAGGCTCTGAAACAGTGCTCATGTGATGCGCAGACGAACCTCAGGTGGCGGTGAGACCCTTGCCCACTAAAACACCATCGATAGCAACTTCAGGCTGTGTGTATGAAGTGCATGGAACATGAAGGAATTGAGTGTCCATACTTGGATTCTATCCCAAATCATCTCCTTGTCTGCATATCAGTACAGGTAACCCTTGTTTAATGACTGAACTTAAACTGAGGCGTGCTGTTTGGACTTACGCCCCACCTTTTCTCTCTGTGTAGTTCTGTGTGTCTTGCTGGTAGAGCCTCAGGGTCTTTGTTTGTGCAGTCCACCTTTTCAATGCAGCCGTGTAATTTCTGCAGTTGTACTGGGCAGTACAGCATTGTAGCTTATGCTCTGTCACACGTTACAGCACTGCATGTAAGAGTTACACAGATAAAGCAAAGTCGTCCTGTTGGAGTTTCCTTTGACTGTTTCTTTGTTCTGAACACTGCAGTGTACCTACTCTGTATAATTCCTCACTTAGTGACCAGTCCTACACACGGGCTGGATCTCGGTTGCTAACTGAGGAATCCAAAATCCTCCACACTTCTGGCCCGCCGCATGCAGGGTCGTGGTCCTCAGCCTGGAGTGTAGATGGGGACTGAGGTCCTTGCACTGGCACACTCAGCCCGCACCAGCCTGTGCCTCGGGTCTTCCTCCTTCGCTCTGGGCCACACTTCATGTTTCCCCGCAGCATTAATAAAAATGTATTTAATGTGTGAAATGGGCATTTCACGGTGGTGTTTATCTGCTTTTTCCTGGTTCCCAGGGAGGTTAAGCACCTTTTCATGGTTATCGGTATTTTTATTTTCTTTTAATTGCCCATTCATATCTCTTTGCCTATTTTTCCTATGGATTTTTTTTAGGATTAAATCACGGAAGCTGTTAGGTATTTGGATATATTGTGTATGTAATTGGACTTTTTCTTTTCTTTTCAAATTATATACAACTTACAGAAAAGTAGGGGTGGTGCAGAGTTATTGCCCTGTTGGCTGAGCCTTCACTAGCACTCCACAGGTTGGCACTCTTCATTCCTGACTCCCCTCCATTCTGCGCCCCTCACTTCCTGTGTCCTTGTCTTTTGAGCTATTTGTGAATGTTATTTAGATGGCTCGGCTTCAGTTCTGTTAAAAGTTCTGCTTGTATTTTTATAGCCTAGGCTGGTTTTGAGCTCACAGTAATCCTCCTGCCTCAGCTTCCTGAGTGCTGGGATTACAAACGTGTACTACCACACGCGGCTCAATTTCCTATGTTCTTGTGCTAAGTGAAATGTCTTTTATGAAAATGTAATTGAAAGCATTCTGTTTGTTTTATCTAATGGTTATCTTGAGGTGACTTAGCTTTCAGTGTGCTCCACCTCACTAAGCATTGATTTCTTCCCTCGGTAAGATGAGGAAATCTGTTCCCCTCCCGGTTCTGGGCCAGCACCACCACTAATCTGTAGCTTTTGTGTTATTTTTAACTTTTCGATGCATTTATAAGTTGCTTTTTCTTTCAAGATTTTAATTTGCTTTGCATTTAGATTTGAACCAGTTAAACTGCTGTTGAACTGGTATTTTTGCCCACCACCCAGTGCAGCAGCACCGCCTTTCATTGAGGTGCGCACTTGATTGAACACAAAGTGAGCCACCATCCAGCTGAGGACACAGCCCTCGCCAGTGGCCCTGAGCGCTGGGTCACTGCCTGTTCTTCTGAGAAGGTGTGGCCTTCACCCAGGCACCGTGAGCAGCTTTGTCTTGTTTTAACTTTCATGTTTGAGGGGTCATGTGACACGCAGTCACACGTGGTGCAGTTGGTGCCATCTGTGGGGTTTGGTGTTGGTATTCATCGTGATAAAGTTTGCATCCTTTGTGGGTCTGTGGAAAATACAAAGTTGTTTATTTAGGCTTTTAAATCAGACTTAATTTTTCAAGATAACCAGCAGCTTAGACTCATGCACTCTTCAGTTCTCATCACCAGGATGAGAGGTGGCGAAGCTTGCAGCTGTGGCCTTCCTTTTCCTTTGATATAGAGTTCCTGCATTTGAGGTTGCTCTGCAGGTTCAGGAGGAGTTGAATTTTTGGAAACCTGTGCAATTGATTATTAAGAAACCACATTAATATTTTGATCATTATGACAGTAAGATAATTATTTGGGTTTTAAAATTTTTTCATTGAATACATTTACAGGTCTGAGTGATTTTGTGATTAGAAAAAATAAATGTTTTCGGAAATTGTGTGTGTGTTTATAACATGCTGTATGCTAGGCTTAGCGATGCAGTCTTTATTTATTTATTTTTTGGTACCAGGGATCAAACTTGGGACCTTGTGCTTGTGAGACAGGCGGCAGAACCACTGAGCTAAATCCCAGGCCCAAAAGTTTTTATTTTAAAAAAATGTTTTTCTTTTAATTATAGACTTCTAAGGAAGTTGCAAGAATTCAGCAGAGCACTGGTGCTCCTGCTCAGCACTTGACTCCAGCAGCCCCGCAGGCTCCCTCACCCTGCAGCTATTTCTGCTGCTCGGTGCCTGCTGTGCCTGGGCCCTTGTCCACCTCACTGGCTCTGCCTGTGGAATTTCTCCAAAACACCACGACTGGCAGAGCCTACATGGGCCCTTGAGGCCCACATGTGAGCCTCTACCACGCTACATAGCTCGGGTCCTGGGTCGGGTGGTTTGGGGCTCCATGTCCTGAGCCCTTTCTCAGCCTCGGTCTTTCTTCCCTCCATCTTTCGATGCGCACGATGGCTGTGCCTGTCCCCTGGGTCCAGTGTGGGCCAGGCTGGAGGTGGACACGTGGGCGGCACGTGGCCTGTCACCTGAGGTCAGGCCAATCTCAGAAGGACTGGGATGACACGTGAGGGCCTCCGGTGTCCATGGCGTCAGGGCCTCTTCTCTCTAGATCTCTGACAGCTCCTGTTTTCAGATCGGCAAACCCTACGTTGACACGTTTTCATTTAAATCTTCATTTTGGAAAAGGTCTCTAAGTAATATCTTTACCATACACATTGGTTAGTGTAGAGAATCATTTTTTTGGTTGAACATTATGTAACTAAAACTTGAGAGTTTTTCTCTTCATTTCTGATGCATGTTAATCTTTTCTCAGCCTGGCTAAGGTGAGTTACAACTTGAAAAGTTGAATTTCTTCAAGTGTCTCTGGGTGCAGGAGCCGTATAATTCACTTCCTAGTGTGCAGTTTATGGGATATCTGCATAAGCAGATGCCACTTTCGTAATCAAAAGAAAGTGTAAAATGTCAATCAGAGATGAAAACTGAAAAAAGAGTATAAGCAACCACGTGAGATTGTGGCCCTGGAAAGTCCCCAGACGAGGAGAATCGCCCAGAGCTGCACAGCAGGCTTCGGAGGGGGGAAAGTGCGGCTGCAGGAGGTCGAGGGAGCACCAGGGAAAAGCAGGAAGGAGAACAGCAGTGCTCAGGCGCCCTGTGGCACCCGGGCCTGTGAACAAAATGATCAAGTGCAGGAAAAGCGTGAGTCTGCACGTCCAACGGCCTCAGCACACTCCAGGCCCACAGCGAGAAACACGATCAGCCGCACAGGGCCAGAGAAGCGTCCAGCGCCGCAGCGGCAGACACGCCGTGGAGGGGCCTCCGAGAGTGCACAGCGGCTCCTCATCAGGAACCCGGAGCAGAGGCGGCGCGGCACAGGCTTGCGGCCGGAGGAAGGCTCAGTGGGCCCAGAACTGCGTGAAGATTTCCAGGTCAATGAACCCAGAGAGAGTTCCTAGAAACACATGAACTACCAAACCTCTCTGCAAAGACGGAAGATCTGCATGGACCTGCAGAGGTAGAGATTGAATCGGTAATCGAGAAACTTGAACAAAGAATGGCCCTCGACCAGGTGGCTGCTCTGGTGCCTGCTAACTGAGTACTTAAAGGATTTGCACCAGCTCTTCCCTTTCTCTTCAAGCCATAGAACAGGAGGGCCTCGTTTTACGAGGCCACCAGAGAACCACACAGACTGTGGGCTGACACCTTTCATGTGTACAAAATCCCGGATGATAAAAGTACTGGTGCCCCAGCCTTGGCCCAGAGGGTTTGACATCCAGTGTGAAGAAAGCAGGGAACGTAACACAGCACGACAAAACAAGGACGGGAGGAGAGGCACAGTCCACAGTGTGGACAAGCATTTGATGGCATCCCACACCTTTTCCTGATAGAAACGCTCGAGTCATGAATGGGAAGGAAGCGAGCAGTGCAGGGTGCTCCACACTCTGGGGCAGTGGCGCAGCCGCGGGAACAGGCGGCGGGCGGCGAGCTCTGCCCACTGTGCCGCTCCTGCTCCACCCTGTGCTGGAGCCCTGGGCAGGACGGAAGCAGCAGAAGCACCCAGATGGGGAAGGAGGGGAGGACACCGTGATCTCACAGGAAAACTGAAGGGCACGCACGTGCGCTGTGCGGGTGCAGAGAGGTGAAGAGAGAGCCACGTCTAGTGAGCAAGGTCCAGGGACAGGGCCCGGTCAGTCCCGACAGTCAGCTGTGTTCTGCACACTCCCAGTGGTGATCCCCACGTGACGTAAGGAGACCGCTCCGGCCACGCCAGCCTCAGAACAGGCGACACATTTGGGGCTGGTGAGTGGAGCGGAGGAAGCGCAGGCCTTGCCCAGGGAGATGCTGCCCGTGGTGAGTTCACTCATGCGTGACCAGCACTGCAGAGACCCGGCCAGCGTGTCGTCCCCCAGCGCGGCCACCCCACGTGTCCCCAGGGTGTCCGGGGAAGACTCTCACGGTGGCCTGCACGTGCAGTCGCAGTGGGTCTTCTGTGGTCTGCACCTCTGCGTCTGATTCCTGGAAACAAAGTTGCTCACTCAAAAATCCCCCTCTTCGCGTCTTTTTCAGTCGGGAGACCTTGGCGTGTGTCCAGCAGTTAATGAGAAATCGCGGTACAATTACGTTTTATTTTTTCCCTTGGTTCTTTCTGAGCTCGACAGAACAGTGAAAGTGAAAGGACCTTGAGTGGAAAATGCATTGATAAAATGAAAGCTTATTGCAATTCTGTTCTCGCCTTGGTTTTCCCTGTCACTCTATTTTTCGAGGAATTAATTCTGCTCTGGAGGGGCCCCGCTCTTTGTGCTTGTGCTGACGTCTGCTAGTGGAGTGACTGCAAGTGTGGGCCTGACTCTGAAGACAGCGGAGTCGCTGGAGGGTCCCTTACTGTTTAAATTAAATTTTCCTATTGTTCACACTGATAAAAATCCAGCTGCAGTCCAGCCATTGGGGTGAATCAGTGTGTTGTCTGTAAAAACTGGCGCTTCTATTTAAGTGAATAACAGACAAATACAATTTATATGCAATTAATCTAATCTATTGAATGGCAAGCTACAAAGCAGTCCCAGCACTGATTGGCCAACTACAGAGACAATTCACAGTGGGCTCGTAACGGGTTTAATTTTTATCCAGGGTAATTTAAGTGTATGTTAAAGTGATGATAACCTCATCAGAGTAGAACTGTTTATCTCTAAGCAGTCATTATTTATGTGTTTTAAATGAGAAAGGTAATGTAAATTGAAGAATTCTAAAATAGATCAATGAATGCTTTAGTCATTGAAATTGATAATAACGGTAAATTTTAGTTGAAAATAGGTGTAGCAATCCACCTGCGATCCTAAAATGTTGGCATTCATTCACATGCCTACTTATGAAGGGGGGAGGACATAGAGAGTTGATACTGCCTTGCGGTTAGCAAGGATCAGACAGAAGACCTGGGCTCATTCAAATTGTGTTTCTCTAAATGTTTGCCCTTGGTAGTAAATTTGTTAAAGAAGGAGAAAAAACGTTTTTAGTTAATTACCCTGCAAAAATTGTGTTATTAAAAAAGTACTGGTAACATATTTGGTATTTGGGTGTGGTTATTTGATTCTTTTACTAAACAATTTTTTCTGAGTTGTATTTGTGCAATTTAAACCTTTTGGTTCTATAAACACATACAGAGCAGGAAATTCAATATTCATCAGGAATCTCATCATGGACAGATGATATCTATGTGTGTGCCCATCTTTAATCATGTATTGCCCTGTGTATCCTGTTTCATAACCTGTTATTTTTTCCTTGAAATATTATTTCTTGCCATTAAAAATTATTCTTCTATGTCAAAGCTTCTTAAAATGACCTCAGAAACTCCAGAATAGGATATCAAACTTTAATTTATGAATGTATGGTTCTTTCCTGAAGATGTCTGTGCTCCTCAGAGTCTCTGGGGCCATGTGGTAGGTAACAAAAAGCTATATTGTTAATGACAGTATTTTATAATTTATTCTTGCCTTCACTTGGTTTTACACAATTAGTACCATATTGGAAGTAATATACCTTGACCAAGAATATTTTATTCCAGTAATACAAGGATAGTTTTATCCAGAATTGATGCCTCTGTGTTTGGAAATGAAACTGCTGTAAAATTGTTGACATTTTCTTATCAGGAGTGCTACTGTTATACTAATTTCATAAAAACAAAAGGGGACATTTTGTATCCTTTTCTGCCATCTCGAATATTTTGAACAACGCGAGAATGGTATTTATTGTATAAAATGTTAGGCAGGCCTTTGTCTTAGTGGCAGTGTTTTATATTCCCTGTTTCTTGTAAGGAAGTTGCTCTTTTGGGATCTCTTTCTTCTTGTTTTTGTTTTGGTCATTTACGTTTTGGTGGGAAATTGGTAATTTTGTGTCACTGAAATGCATGAACATCCTCCGAGCCATTTTGTACCTGAGGTCACACCCTCCGGGCAGGTGGCGTGTCCCTGTTGCTGGCCTTGGGATCACAGGGCGCTTGTGTCGGGCTTTGACTCAGGTGGGCTTCGTAGTCTCTGCCAGGTCTTCTGATCTATGTGCTGCGCTTTGCATCTTGCTGCCGTTTCTCCACAGAGGAGGGCTGGTGCCTTGGAGAAGTAGCTGACCCTGGAGATGGGATGAGCTAGAGCATTGAGGACCCGGAGCAAGGAAGAGGCGCTGGCTGTCCCGACGGGAGACCTCAGAGCGGCTCGCAGAGCCCCTGTCCCGAAAGGGGAGGTGGAGGGAGGACAGTGTCGAGCCTGAAGCCCTGGTGTACCCTGGGAGCATGGCGAGGATGGCAAGGATGGCAGCTGCTGGGGGCCCCTCCACCTCTCTCAGTGTGGTCAGATGACTTCCACTTCCACTCTGTCCACGGCGTTAATTGCAGTGGTTCCTGGCCCAGAAAAGAGGATGATGCGCTGAATGAGGGGGGCTGGTCCAGCATGGAAGAACGCACCTCATAGAAGTAGATGCTGGAGAGCTGCCATCAGGACGCAGTGCAGGGTGATGGAGGGTCAGAGTCATGGATGGCTGGTGGCGAACACACTAAAGGAACAAGGTGGAGAGCATTTCTGTAACCCAGAAATGAGGCGATCATCCCGCCCAGCCCAGAAGCTAGTGGGGAAGGCAGATGCTTATGTAACAAAAATGGGGCAGAACAAACAAAAACACAGAATGTAGTATATACTATGGCTAATGGTTAACTTGGAAAAGTTAAATTTTAATTTGTAATGACGTATAAGTGGTCACTGTCTGTGAGGTACAAAGAATCTATGTATTGGTAAGAAAATGACAGAATCAGTAGAAAGGTGGGTCAGATACGCAGACAGTTCATAGGAGGAAAAGCAAATGGCAACAGAGTTGTAAAAATGTGCACAGCTTCATTTGTAGTCAAGGAGGTGACAACATAGGTACCTGATCTTACCTGGCCAGCTGGCAAGACCTGAGCCTAGTGAGGCTGAGCAGGGCTGCTGCTGGCCTGTTTCAGCGCCATGAATGTGGAGAGGCAGCTTCGTGCGTCCGTCCACCCACTGTAAAGTGACTGCCCTGCAGTTCTGCTTTTCGACACCTTGATAGCAATAAGAATTGTGTGAGGGCATGTGACCGACATGAAAATGCCTTCGCGTTGTATTGGCAGATAACAACCCTTCTCCTTGCCAGTCAGAGGCCTTTCTGATGCAGGTGGTTGGTGCTGGGGAGGGCGGAGGGCGCTGCAGCGTGGATGAGGGAGAAGGCTCTTGATCCTGGGAGCTCCCAGGAGAGCCACTGAGAGAAGGTCACTTCCCTAGTGCTGTGTGGCGGGCTGCTGCTGGCCATTGCACTTATGAGCGCCACCTAGGTTTGCTGTGAACAGAACACACAGGCCTAGGCACCTGTGCCCTGCCCTGGAGCTCTGTGGAGGGCATGGTGAGAGAGGCACAGCTGGTGTGTAGGGCGGGTGATGGTCAGCTCCCAGTCGGCGTAGGTACCAGGGTGGAAGCCCTCAGCCTCGGATGCTTGACACTTGCGTGGCTAAGGCTGGATTGCTCCCTACTCCTGATGAGGCTCCTGAGGCTCCAAGAGAAAGTGTAATTTGGTTTTGTTATACTCTGGTCCTAAAAGTCTAGGAAACGTAATTCAACTCAGATTTCTGTCCAAAATACTTCACTTTCTAGTAATGTGGTCTTTGATATTGCTGTTAGCCAGTATATTGCACTATTGGCTGTTAATAATGCGCTTTTTTATTTTCAGTTTTTTGTAGCATCAGATCCAACAGTTAAAACCGATCGACTGTGGCATGACAAGTATACTTTGAGGAAATCCATGATTCCTTCTTTTATGACAATGGATCAATCTAGGAAGGTAGGGCTAGAAGAGCTTTCTGTGATTATGATTTTATATCTCTCTATATATTTGGATTATGTGACAAAACTAATTTTCAGTTAAATAAGTTTTGTTGCATTCTAGGGTTATTCTTTCATGAGGTGACGTGCATGTTAATGGGATGCATCAGCATGCTGGTACATTTGCTAGTGTATGTTCTGAGTTTGAGAGTTCACTTGATGCTCCAGTGAACTTGAGTTCACTAGATTCAATGCTCTGATCATGTAGTTTTTTAATCCATAGCCAATTTGTAGCATTTGTAGAATATTTGTAATAATTGATGACAATTTATATAAAAAAATTGTAGGATATTTTCCATTTCAGGTCCTTTTGATAGGAAAATCAATAAATTTCTTGCATCAAGTTTGTCACGATCAGACACCCACTACAAAGATGATAGCTGTGACCAAGTCTGCAGAGTCCCCCCAAGATGGTACGTTGACGGTGGCGGGGATGACAGCGTTAGGGTGTGGGGGTGGAGTGGGGGATGATGTGGGGTGATGGTGGTAGCCTTGAGGGCGATGCTAACTCTGGGGGAGTGTGATCGAAGCGATGTAAGTGATGCTGTGATGCTGTTGTGCTGGTGGGGAGGACGCGGGTGATTTTACGGGCTCATGCACACATACGCACATATATAGTTGGAAATATATTTTGTTCCGTAGGGCTTACAGTTTATCTGCATGGCTAAGATACTGTCATACACAGTATGATTGATATATACATGTAATGTTTTACTATATGCATGTTTAATTCCTTTTATACAGCGTTAAATTGTAGGTATTGAAGTAGGTATGGTTAGTCTATCCTGCTTCGTGGTTGGAGCACTATTTTTTCTAATTGTAAAGTCAGATGTGCCAGACTAAGAAACAGGTAAATGTTGCCGGTGGTAGCTGTGCTCTGGGATGCAAGGGCTCATTTAAAGCAGAGATTTAGCCAATGTGTTGTGTGGAGCGGTGGGTTAAAGTTCTGCCTGCATTATCGTGCTGTGGTTGCTCTCCTTCACGTGCTGTCCCTGTCTCGCATTTGCCCTCTTGTTGCCTGCTTTAGCCCTAGTTGCCTTGCTGTATTTTGTGCAAGGCTAACTTATTCGTATGGCTTTCTAGTCCTGGCTATATTTGCTATTTATGTTGCCATCTTGATTCATTTGAAGGGTTCACTTTGCGTGAAACGTTGTATTGGGAACGGTGTGCAGAGTCCCGGAGACAGGGCTGTGGCCCTCGGGATGGTGGACTGCTGAGGTCTTATTCCCACTGCACTCGCATGCAATTTTCCACATCCTCTGGGCTCGCTCCTGGGACAGGAGATGGGATCCAAATGCAGCTGTGGGGGAGATGCCCACTTCGAAGAGGCAAAGGGAGGAAGAGCATTTGTGTTGTTGGAGCCTTTACTTCTGAGAGGACGCCCCCAAGAGGCGAGGTGTGGATGGAGGGTGTGTGAGGGAGGCATCCCCCCAGGGGAGCGGTGGAGGCCGCTGCCCCCCCCCCCAGTGACTGGCAGCAGCACTGCTGTGTGAGTGCTGCTGTTACTGCCCTATGCTGTTAGTTACCACTTCACTGGTGTCATTACTCTGTGCTGTTACTCTTCTACTGCTCTTACTACTCTACTATTGCTACTATTCTCCTGCGGATGTTTCTCTACTGTTACTACTCTGTGCTTTTACTACTCTACTGCTATTACAGCTCTGCTGTTTTTACTACTGCTGTACTTTTACTACTGCTGTACTTTGTTATTACTCTACTGCTGTTACTACTCTACATTGTTATTACTGTTGCTGTTATTACTGTACTGCTACTGCTGCTGCTAGTGCTGTTATCACTGCTGGTGCTAATGCGGTTAGTACTACTGCTGCTATTACTTTGCTGTTGCTGTTACGACTCCGTGCTTGCCGCTGCCGCTGCTGTTGTTGTGGTTCCCCTGCTGCTGCTTTTTTGTTGGTGATGACTCCTGTAGCCCACTTCGTCCTGTACTGTGGCCAGTGTCTGGAAAAATGAAGTTTCTGCTGCTCTGTTTGTAGTGTAGTGGGAAGATAAAGATACAAACCTAAAAAGATGACTAATAGTACCAAGCAGTGGAAAATGTCAAATGCATATTCATCTGTGGAAAACTTTTGAGGATTTGAAAGTGCTCATCAAGAGTCCAGAGGGAAATGCAAGGAGCTGGTGTCTGAGGGATGCTGAAACCAGGGATGGAGTGGAGTGTGGGCCCTGCGGCTCTGTCCTGAGAGGCTGCTCGGGGCTGACACTGGCTAAGATTTAAACTTTCTTTATTGTATTCAAAAAGTATGATGGACCTGATGATAAACGCATTCCTGGGGAAAACATTTACCTTAGTAAGTCTGCAGGTCAACAGGAGTGAAGCCTGGGGCCCTTGAAAGAGGACCACAGGAAGCCCAGGGTGGCCCCGAATGCTCGGGCCTCAGACAGTGGCACGGTCTTCCGGGCACCGGGAGTGGTAGCAGTACCAGAGCTGGCCAGATGTCTCAACTGGCCTCATCTGGAGGACAAAGAATCCTCCAGCATCCTGGGACCTTCACATTGGTTAACCCAGGTCGAGGAAGAGGCTCATCTTGGAACCAAAGCTTGGCCTTTCTCGTATCCCTGTGTAACCTTGAGCAAGTGTTTTACCTTTCTCCACCTCAGATTGTTCCTAACCATTGAGATTACTTTCTAGCTCAAGTGTTACTGTGCTTTTTAAAGGAAATAGAATGTTTCAGATATGTTTTATAAACGGATTTGAGTTACACAGATGTAAATTAGCATCACAAAAGCTCTATTGTGTTTGTAGTCGCCACATTGTTTCTTTTCAGTGGAAAGCTATGAAACATTTTTTTCTTGAGTTGCTCCTTGGAACTAGGTTTCTGGGTTGGTGACAGGCTGGTTCTGCTGCGCGGCAGTCTCCAGCAGCTGCCCGGGCTTCACTCCGGGATGCTGAGCTGTGCTGCGTGACCGTTGCACCCAGCCCCACACGGATCTGTGCAGCTCAGAGCTCACGCACAGGGGCCGAGCTGGTTGTGGGACAGGTTTCCAAGTGTCCTGGGTGACTGGAGCCTGTGCCTCCAGGCCGCACGTGGTGGAGAGGGGTCCTTGAAATCACAGCAGTGCTGCGGGTGTCACCATGGACCCGGCTGTCGAAGCTGCGCTCCATCCCACTGTGGTCTCCGGGCTGCGCTGCCCTCGCTGTCTGTGCAGCTGCAGTGGCCGGCGGGGTCCGCTGTGGACGCTGCTGCGGTTTGGGAGCTGCTGTCGGCGTGTGCTTCCCTGTCCTCTAAGTACATATTACATATGGATGTGTGCTCTCCCCTTTGTTCTTTACAGCTGCGGATTTATTCACAGACTTAGAAAATGCGTTTCAAGGGAAAATTGATGCTGCTTATTTTGAGACCAGCAAATATCTATTGGATGTTCTCAATAAAAAGTACAGCTTGCTGGACCACATGCAGGCGATGAGGCGGTACTTGCTTCTTGGTCAAGGAGACTTTATAAGGCACTTGATGGATTTGCTGAAGTAAGAAACTGCAACTGTTTTGATTTTCATGATTTGCAGTGCTTTGAGCATCAGAGGTTCTGACCAGTTCTGTTAAAAGAATCAGTGGCATCAGAAGGCAATGCATTGAATTCTTAGCATATTTATAAATCAAAATCTATAAAGATAAAATTGTGACACTCTCACAGAGACCTCAACCTGGTCACCAGCAGGTGCCAGCCTTGTGCCTTGCTTTGTCCCTGAGGGATTATGAGGGTTGTAGCATGGATAGTGACCCCTAAGGTCTGAGGAGTCTGGGGTGACCACAGTCAGCTTTGGCTCCAGTGTGAAACTAAGCAGAAATATGTACTTCACATTGCACTCTTATTCCCTCTGTTTAGTCAGTGTCGCTTTCCATAACAGAGCCAGACCACTGCCCTGTCCATTGTGTTTTGCCCTGCAACCTTTGCAGAGTCCCACATCGGTCCTTCTCTCTCTAGAGGCAGAGCCAACTCCATTGCAGAGAATCTGGGCCGGCACAGACCGGCGCTCCTGGCTGGCAAGGGGTGCACTGCTCACAGCACAGCCCAGGGACTTGCGCTCGGGCGTTTGTGAGAGCGGAGACTGGTCTTTTGGTGCTCCCTTTAGGACACAGGGTAGCAGATCTTAGTCCTTTGGTCCTACCTGTGCCACTTGTTTTGGGCCTGTGGTCTCGAGCTTTGGCACATGCCTGCCTCCCTGAAGTGGCTGACGAGGCATCCGCTGTGCCATCCGAGCTAAAGATCTGGCAGAGCTTAGGAGTGTGGGGTGGGGGGCTGTCCCCCGAGGCCCTGTCCCAGGCACATGAGCTCCACAGTGCAGACTGCAGCGTGGGAGGCTCACTGGCAGTGGCCGAGCCCTGCCCACTCTGGAGTGAGTGAGTGAGCGGCCCTGGGACCCTGTGTGGCATTTCCCACCTCGTAAAGGAGGCTCTGCTGCTGGGTTGGGTGCTGGGTGGTCTGGCGTGTGCATGGCGATGCCAGGCCTGACGGGGAGCACGTGGGGGCATGGGGCCTGTGGGCGGACAAGCGGGTGGAGTGGAGCGGAGAGGCCAGGGCCGCATTGTGTCGCCTCACTGGCTGCGTGGTGCGCCTCGCGCCGGAGGAGCTGAACGTGTCAGGCGTCACATTGTACTGTGAGGTGGCGTGTGCGGTCCCAGGCTGTGTCTCGGAGGCCCACCGTCCAGGGGCGCGGTCTCTGTGCTGTCTGGGTGCCTCGGGTTGACTTGCGGACAGCAGTGCCTCCTGGCTTCCAGCCTCGTCTCCAGCTGTGCTGGCGCTTGTGCACACACGGCGAGGGGTGGCGCTGTGAGCTTTCCCTGGAGGTGCAGCCGGCAGCGGCTGGCAGCAGTGGGTGCCAGGGCACCGCAGCCTGGTCCCCGGGCATCTGTGCAGAAGTCTGTGTCTTGTTTCCATTGGCGAAGACCTCTCCTGCCTTTGGGCCTCTAGGAAGTCACGGCAGCCTGTGTGCTCCTGGGCCCGTCTGAGGTCGATTCATTATAACACGCATGGCGTAGCTGAGTACTTTCCATTTAAGCTGACTCGAAATGAACATTTTTGAAGTTTTATACTCTTTCAAATAATTGGTATCCCCTACATGCAATGAATATTGTAAATCCCTTATGACATTCTTTTGGTCCCATTTGTCTTTTCAGTTTTTATCATTTGAACTCTAAATTTTTCTAAAGTTCATTAAAAGTTCAAGTAACTTTTTTTTTTAATTTTTAAAAAATTTGTTAAGACCAGAACTTGTCCGTCCGGCAACGACTCTGTATCAGCATAACCTGACCGGGATTCTGGAAACCGCTGTGAGAGCCACCAACGCGCAGTTCGACAGCCCCGAGATCCTGCGGCGGCTGGACGTCCGGCTGCTGGAGGTAGGAAAGGCGTGCCGGGCGGGCAGGCGGGCTGCTCTGGCCAGCCCACACAGATCCTCTCCCTGCCAGGCTGCCCACTCGAGAGAGGGTGCCTCAGTGCCGATGCTCAGCACCTCTGCTGCAGTGAGCTCCAGAGGCCGCATGCAGGCGAGGCAGGGCGGTGGTACCACTGTGGTCACCAGGGCATCTGTGTCCCTGGCGTCAGCATGGCGGGTATGAACATGAGCAGGTCCTCTGAGCTGGGCTGAGGGATCCTTGGAAAACCCTGGTGGTCGGTACCCCGCCCCCCAACTCCAGCCTCCCAAATGCTGGGATTATAGGTATGCACCACCGCACCCACTTTGCATTTCTTGAAATACAGACTTTTAGAGATTTGGAACCTATTACGAGGCAGAAGGGTTTATTTGTCATAACAAGGGTGGTAAGATTTGAGCATAGATTCACAGTTTTCTCTGGAAAGCATGCTGTTCATCCCTGGGTGTTTATGGTACGCCTGCCATGTGCCCTGAGTGGTCCAGTTGGTGAGGACCCCAGGCCCACATAAAGGGTTCCTCACTCTCACGCAGCTAAACATTCTACTGTGAGGTGGAGTTCGTTTGTTTTCGAGGCTGTGTTTCAAGGGTCCACCTTTTAAGGGACGTCGTCACGCAGGCCTATCCAAGCGCAGGCCTTCCTTACTGTCTTCCTGAGGAGTCACAGAAGAGTCACACCAGGCTCAGAGTCTCTGATTGTTTGTCTGCCGTCAGGTCTCTCCAGGTGACACGGGATGGGATGTCTTCAGCCTGGATTACCACGTGGATGGGCCCATCGCCACGGTGAGTCCCCAAGTACCTGCCCCCTGAGCTCCCAGCACTTGGGGCTGCGCGTCCTGTTGGAAACGGGCGCTCTTCTCTAAGAACTTGTGGTTACAATGACCGTGACATCAGGGATATGCCCATTGAATGAACACTTAAGCCAAAATTGTGTGTGTTTTAGATAATTATTAACAAGTGCTGAAATGCTCTATGATTTTAATAATTCTTAAAAATATCATTTGTTCTATCATAGGTTTCAGCAGGTACTTAATAAATGGATTGTTCATTTTGTTCCATTATTCTTAGACTGTAGCAACTAATTTAAGATAATTTGAAAGGAACTGTAAAGTGTATTTTAGGGGAATCGTATTTTTACTACTTAGATAAAATTTGATATTTAGTATTCATTTAAACTGATGAGAAAATAGCTGCACTATTGTTCCTAGTGCTTTTACCACATGTGAAGAAAAGTACCATTTCTTTTCACAGTTACCAAATCATGAAAGGTCAGCCAGGGAGGTGTCGTCTTACGTGTCTGGAATTAAGATGCTGTTTCTGAGGCTCCTCTCTATTCAGGCCTGAATGAATTCTCCTTGACCATGACGCACCTTTAAATGTGCTTCAGTCCCGTGTAGGTCTGAGAGACTGAGGGGCACCTGTGTTTCTCTTCATTACTTTGCTAAGCAGCGGCGTAGGTTAGCCTTCTTCCTCTCCGTGGTTCTTGCATAGTCTGCATGTCTCGCCCAGTGAGGGTCCTGTGACTGAGTCACACCCACAAGTCTGCACGAGCCGACAGCCCCTCCCCATAGTGTAACTTGAGTCTGCGCCCAGTCTGCCACCCAGATGTGTGTGTCTGCTGGGCATGGTCGCTGTTTGGCATGCGAGTCCCCACGTGTGACCTGCAGTTGCCCCACCTGCAGTGTCCGTGTACAGCTGCCCTTCAGCTTGGTTGCTGGTCCGTCCGCATTAGCCTCCTCTCCTTGGACGGACTCCTAAGGGTGTAGCACAGTGGCGACTGCTTGTGCCCACCAAGTGTGAGGCCCTGGGTTCTGTCCCCAGTGCCAACGCAGACAAAAACAGAACCCCAGAGATACCATGGGAAAGGCTGCATTGATGATTCATAGAGTAGGTGGACCGGCACGTCCAGAAGCAGTTACCTATTTATTTCCTAGCGTGTGCACTGTCCTAGGAGTATCAGCTGTACTTTATGTGCAGTGTGCCTAAACAATGGCTCCTGTGGTATTATTTAAATTTATATGTTTCAAGGCTCTACTCCAGTAAAGGAGCAGTTTATATTATAGGTTAAAACATCTCTGAAGCTGAGCATGGTGGTGCCTGCCTGTAATCCCAGACTGAGGCAGGAGGGTGTGAGTTCAAGGCCAGCCTGAACCACATAGCAATACCCTATCTCAGAAAACCAAAATAAATAAGAAAGACAAAACAAAGTGAAAACCTCCCTGAGAGCCCTGTGGCCCACAGCTGCCGGTTGTTTGCTTGCCCAGTTTGTCAGCAGCGGAAGCGTGGGCTTCTGGAGAGAAGGAGTTGCAGGGCTGGGCTGGTGGGCACTGCAGGCCCCGGAGTGAGGCTGCCCGGAGTGCCACTCCGGTCTGCGGTTAGCCGCGCCTGGGCCTGAGTCCATTTTAGCTGAGTTGCCGCACTACACCATGTGATCAGCGTCCAGATAGATCACTGTTAGAAACTGCAGTCATTTGTATCAAACGTTCACCTGTGTGCACTTGTCTTCAGATGCTACTAAAGAAAAAGGGCTGTCACATTAAAACACTTCGAGTCGAGGTTTGGAGAACGTGCTTTCCTCTTTCAAGGTCGTTATTACCTCTGTTTTCTTTCCATTCTCACTAGTTGTGGTTGTCATTTTTGTACAGAGTTTAATTATAGTGGTTCATATTTTATAATAGTCATAATTACTTCTTGTGTGACATTGCAATTTTAGCTTTATGGAAATTCCATGATATAAAATATCAGTGAAACTTCTTGATAGGTCTAATTTAGGAAATTAATCTGTTACATTCAGAACTCAGGTTATTAAAAATACTTGCCAAATATAGATCATTAAATGTTTAAGATATTTTTGGTTCATCTTGTTTTTCCTGAGTCTTAAGTGATTGGAGCAAAATTGGTGATTTTCTTTATGAGCATTGGGATCATCTGGTGTCGAGGTGGCCGAGGTGCTTTTGTCAAGAGGTGTCGCCGCGCGCTGTAGGCTGATCAGTGCTGCCCGGCACTAGGGAAGGGGCCTGCGTTTATAGAGGCGGCATTTCTCTGCAGGTGCCGCACAGTGTGACCGTCCTCCTCTTAATATCCTGAAGGGTTTGAGTCAATTAAACTTTAAAAAATTAAATAATTTTAATTGTGCTAACGAGTGTGGCACTTAAAGGGCCCTACCCTGTTACATGTCTTTTGTGCAGTGAAGAATCCTTGGACTCACTCAGCATTATCTAAATCTGTCATCTTCAGTTTCTGTAATTGCGCAGGTGATTATAACAATGCACTGTGGGCAGCACAGTGAAATGGGTTTCCACAAAGAGTACATTCACTGCAGCTTCTCGTCGGTCCTGTGTAGACCATGGCCTCCTGTCAGTGCTGAGCACCACCGGCCCTGGTACCAGAGGTGGGAGGAACAGGTGGACAGAGGGGCCTGGCCCACGGGGGCAGTGTGCAGTGATGCTGCCATCGTAAGGATGGTCGTGGGCCACCTTAGAGGAGGGGCCTGAGGACAGTGTGGCCGAGGCGGGCTCCCTCAGAGCAACCCTAAGAGTGCGGCCCGCAGAAATTTGTCCAGTGTGTGGTGCAGACGGACACACACGGGCTCCAGTGCAGGGAGGCCCACGTTTGTGTTGGTTTGCAGAACACCCTGTCCCGGGTTGCATGGCACACAGCCAGCCTCCACAGTTACTTGGGATGCCCTGACATTCACGCTTGGCACCTGGGGGAGGGTGGCGGGGAAGGGAGGTCTTGCAGTCCCCACCCCGGGCCTGATCACCTGCCTGGGGAGCCGCGTTTGTGGACAGCACATGGAGGTGCTCAGAGGAGCAGGAGGTACGCTGTGGGATGGCCTCGGCCCCGCTGGCCTCAGCATGGGAGCAGGGCTCGTGCACACACATCTCTGGGAGGTCGCTGAGTGGGTTGGCCGCAGGTGGGCTGGGCTTACTGTCCTCCAGCCATGTACCAGCTATGTCCTCGTCAGCTCATTTCCCAGCTGCCCTCTGCTGTTGTGAGTCTGCCTGGCACATGAACAGCGGTGGTGTTCCAGTACTACAGTGGGCCACCTCAGTTACCCACTGACCACGGGATTTACTGGAGTTGGCTCTGTGAGGGGCTTTGCCTGGAGCCTGGGCTGGGCTGGGAGGACCCCTGCACGTGTGCCATGAGCCTGTTTCCTGCTGTCTTCTCCAGGTGTTCACTCGGGAGTGCATGAGCCACTACCTGCGGGTGTTTAACTTCCTGTGGCGGGCCAAGCGCATGGAGTATATCCTCACCGACATCCGGAAGGGGCACATGTGCAACGCGAAGCTGCTGAGGAGCGTGCCAGGTACAGCTGTGTTGTCACACCTCAGCCACAGGGGTCTGCTTTGCGTTGCTGAGCCAAGCTGGCTGTTGTGCTTTGAAATTGTTTTTGTGGAAAGTCTTGTGCGTAACATTGCTTATCTTGACTTCTGTGCAAGTAAGAAGAAAATTGAGTCACGACAGACTTTTGTTCAGACCATGGAGTTTCTTTTAAAATCGTATTTATTTTTCACTAGGGTTGATGTGTATACTTTAATTTTTTTAATCACCACTTTTTCAGGGAAGAAAACCATTTAATAAGTCTTTGGCTCATTGAAGTTCACATAGTGTCTTAATTACATTCTCTTTAGAATTTCCTTAATGTTTTGTCTGTAAACCAGGACACTGAAATGTTTTATGTTATGTTACAATTGAAAACCATAGTAAAAACTCCCAGGTGTCAGAAAGTCAAGATTATTTTAGTATTACAAATATTGAATGACTTCAATTATGAGTCATTTTAGTATCTTCCTACTGAAATTGTTTAGGTCAGAACCTTTGAGAAAGTATTGCCATAAATATCTCTCTCTAAAGAGAAACTGAACTGAGTATGCCCTTCAGTTCCTTCTTTGAGTGGTGAAAAGTAATCATCACAGATGAAAGAGGAGCGAGCAGCCTTTGAAGAAAGGAGTCCATGGCCTCTCTTCTTTCCTGGATCTGAGGCTGGTCCTCGAGCAGCTACCTAAGGTCCGAGAGCTGACACCACCTGCATGCAGCGGTGTGGACCAAGGGGCCAGGAGCTGCTGCAGAGGATCCTGGGTGCTGGGGGTCCTCGGAGGTAGCCGAGAGGGACAACAGGGACATTTTCACCACCATGTGGGCCAAGGGGCACTCCAGGTCTCGAGGGCCACCTCTGCTGCCCGGCCTGTGGTTCCTCCCTCAGTGTGTCACTGGGCATGTCCCTTTGTGTGCCCCCGCCCGCCCCCCGGTCATTCCTTTCAGTGCAGCTGAGGAAAGGACTCGTAGCAGCTCCTGGCTGTGGATGAGCCAGGCTCCAGGCAGTCTGAGACTTACTCCTCACGTCATGCCTCCCTCTGCCAGGCTTGGAGTCCAGTGTCTGGATGGAAGCATCTGCCAGGGTTGCTGGCGGGGCTGTGGCTTCTGACGAAGGTCAGCAGGCCTTGTGGCCTGTGCGGATGCCTTTTCTGTCACAGTACTCAATAATCAACATGGGCTTTTTCCTTGGAGATAACAGCTGAGAAATCTCTGGACTGGTTTCTGTCCGTGGAAGTGCGCCCTATGCAGTCTGAGCAGAGCAGAGCTCAGCCTTCCCTTCTGGCTGTGCCCGGGCACATCATTCGCCACATACATTTGCACAGACATGTTTTGTGTGCCTCTGAATATTTCTTTAGAGTAGATTAATGGGAGGTGGGATTCCTGGGTTTTAGTTTCACCTGTTGTTTACTAATATTGGCATTTAGGGTTACTTTGTTGTGCATTGTCAGATGGCTTTGTGAGGAACATGTACCCATTTGCATCCCTGTAAGTACAGTACAGCAGCCCTCACTTAAAGGTTGTAAGCAGTCTGTCTGTATTTTGCTAGCATTGGATATCACACACCCATATGAATTGAGTTGTTACGTGAAAGTGGAGGTTCACCTCAGGGTTAGGGTTTTAAAATCATCGAACACTTTTTTTTTTTGCCACTTGTATTTCTTTGTTGTCAGTTTTTTCCCCACGTTTCTGTTGGGTGTCAGTGTTATTTTATTTGGTTTGTAAAGAAGTCCTTCAAAGTTGTTTATGGCAGGGGACTTCGTGGGTAGCAGTTGACCAGCCAGCCAGTCTTGTAAGACAGCCAATTTAGTAATGTCCTGCCGGCCCCAAGTCCAAGGCAGAACAGACAGGCGCCCCGGAGTGTCTCTGTGACAGTGGCGGGATCGGGATGGGCGAGGGATCCTGCAGGGCCGGCTCACGCTCCAGAGAGCGCTTAGCCACGAGCAGGGCCCTCGCTCCCGAGAGGCGTCGGCGATGGAAGGTGAAGGGCCGCCTGGCCCACAAGCCAGGGTGCACCGTGAGAGGAGTTGGCGTTTTCGTCTTTAGAGATAGCTGTGAGCTTCTCCTGTTCTGAATGCGGACGAATCCTCAGCAATGACGCCTCGCTCGGGCTTAGCTGCCACCGCTCTGCACTGCCTGCCGCCCCGCTGTGGCCTCGGCTGGTTTCCATGTCTCCTGCCTCAGTTCCCCCTTGGGCAGGAGGTGATGGGAGCACGTGCTGCCTGTGGTTGTCAGGATTGACTGCCGGAGGCCTTAGACAGCACCCGAGAGTGCTATGAGTTGACCGCCGGCCGGCGTTGCCGTGATGCGTGGGGTCAGGAAGAGAACTGCAGGATGTGAGAACTAGAGGTTGTGAACAAGACATACAGAGGAGCTGTGCTCCTTAAAGGCTCCTGGGTCCGGAGCCTCGAGATCAGGCAGTGCTTGGACCAGGTTGGTTTTCAGCGTGGTGGCCTCAGATAACGCATAGGTCTGCCTTCCCCTTGCTGGACAATGTCCAGCACCCACAGCCAGACAGGAGAGCTTGGGTGTGGCTCAGGGTTTGAGAGGTTTCAGGCCACCGGCGCCAGCTCCAAGGCAGGGACCTTGTGGTGGGAAGGCATGGAGGAGGGATGCTGCTCAGTTCCCAGTGGGGCACCAGCAAGGACCAGAAACAGTCCCGCGCTACGCCCCGCGGCCCCCAGACTCACCCAGAGGCATCTCAGTCCATCCGGCCAAGGTGCCAGTCACCAGGTGTGGATGGGTGGGCGGGGCCTCGGAGCTGTGAGGAGGCGTGACCTAGAGGTTCCTGAAAGTGAGCTCCTGAGGCTCAGGGCTTCTGCAGCAGGGGCCTCTGATTGTGCGGACCACACCCGACGCTCCTCCGGCAGCCTGCAGAGGGCAGTGAAGAGTCTCGAGCCAGTCCCACTTAGATCCTTGGTACTGAGGGCATAGGGCCTGCCTCCTTCTGCATACAGGACCAGTGCTAGCCCAGCAGGGTGTTCTTTATGTGTCATTGGACCTCAGTGCCATTGTGGCTTTGCTTTTGTGATTCTTACAAGTATGTATTTATGTGTCAACCATGAAAAGAAAGACACTTCTATTGTAGGCATAGGTTTTTACTTTTTATTTTTTAAAATAAAAGGAGACAGTTTATTTGAAGATGGGGAAGGAGGAAGAGAGAGATGACAGCTACTCTGAAGGAGTAGGAGAATTTGAAAGTGAATTGCTCCTGGGTTTCTTCTCTGTACCACCTTTGATTGAGATCTTTGGCCCACAGCGGCTCTTGGAATCAGACTGGCCCCCTGGCTGGCTATCACCCTAACCTTGGATTCCTTCCAGCCATGCCCCCTCTTCCTGTCCTTTGGTGGAGGGTAAGATTCTGGGTGGGGCCTTGTGACAGGTAGCTATAATGCAGAAGTTTTAAACTTCTAGGCCTTCAAGACTTAAAAATTCTCTCGGCCCTTATGTTGTTCCTCTTTACCCAGAAGCAGGCAGATCCACAACCCTCCCAATGAGTGATACTTTCTATAATCACAGTGTAAGCCACCACAAAATAGACATATGCATCCTGTTAGCTTTAGTATTCACAGAAGGTATCCTGTTATGCCCTCTCTGTTACCCTTAAGTATATATATCCTGTTAGCCTCAAAGTACACAGTGCGTATCTTGTTATATTCTCTCTGTTCGCCTTAAACATGTATTCGGTTACCCACAGTGCTCACAATATGTATCCCCTTGTGTTATGCTATGTGAATATCCTGTTCCTAAAAAGCCCCAGTCTCAAGACAGTTCGTTATTGCTCATCCCAAGCCCACCCCAACTTAGGAAACTCGTTCACTGCTGCATTTCGGGGCCCAGATCTTTACGGAGCACCAAGCCCCACTGGGCCGGCCAGTCCAAAAAGCCTTGGCTTTCTTCCATCTCTTTTGAGTGGGTCTGTCCTTCTGGGTCGGTCCAGACTTCCCACAGCTGCTAGGCTAAAGGGTTAAGTAAAGGAGAAGTTTGATGTTAATCGCCAATCACAGTGCCTAGGAACTTCCTGGTCCTGAGCAGGTGTAGGTTTTACTTGATGTTTGGGTGCTGGGTAGAGTCCAGACGTGTTTCAGATGTTAGAGTGGGAAAGGACTGAGTTTTGCCTGGAAACTGAGTTTGTGCTCGTGAGAGCCCAGAGGCGTCGGGCTTCTCTTCCTCCCCTGAGGACCCCCCAGAGGCTGCCAGAGAGGAGTCCTGTGCACTCCTGCTGTCAGACAAGGCAGGAAGATGGTGTCTCTCCAGGAGGAAAATGCACCATGGCTGACTTCAGGAAAGGGAAGAACACAGAATTTCACGTGGTCGCTGAGTTGGCCCTGGTCATGGAAACGAGAAGGGTGTGAGTTTGAAGACCAGGTGTGGGTGGCCTTGCAGCCTTGGGCCGGCCCCTGTGCACCTCCCGCCTTCTCCCATCTGGTGCCCTGTCTCCAAGCCCTTCCATGGATCCAGCCAGTGGAATAATTGTGAAGAAGCCATGAAACAGCTTCCATTCGTTCACAACACTGCCTTTCTGTGAAGTAAAACAGACACAGCCGTGTTTTGTCCTGGGCTGCCCCTCTCCAGGGCCTTACAGTTGGTGATGTGATTCAGCGCGGCTCGGTTAGGTAGCTCAGGCCTCCGTATGGTGAAGGGCACTGGCCGCTTCTCGCTGACAGACACCCTCTCTTTTGCAGAGTTCTCGGGGGTGCTGCACCAGTGTCACATCCTGGCCTCGGAGATGGTGCATTTCATCCACCAGATGCAGTACTACATCACGTTCGAGGTACGCATGTGGCTGGATCAGGTGGGTCAGTGGTTCAGAGGATCCTGCGTGGGAGGGCTGTGGCACCCCGAGTGTCCCTGTCACTGCAGGTGCTGGAGTGCTCATGGGATGAGCTCTGGAACAGAGTGCAGCAGGCCCAGGACCTGGACCACATCATCGCGGCACATGAGGCCTTCCTGGACACCATCACCTCACGCTGTCTGCTAGATGGTGACTCCAGGGTAAGGCCAACTTGCAGGGACTGCTGGCGAGCCACGCCGTCATGACTGACACGGGGGTGGGAAGTCTGGTGGGCCGGTTCCTGTTCTGAACAAACTCCCAGCAAAGCGGGTGCGAAGCGAGCTTCAGCTGCCTCAGGTGGGTGTGCAGGGGTGAGAGGATGGACGCCACCTGACTGCGCCGATGGTCTGAGTCACGGCACAGCACGGACAGTGATGTGAGCAAGGCCTCAGAGGAACAGCGCGGGGCAGTGGTGTGCATGTCCCCGGATGCCGTGGAGGGCCGGGAGCCTCTGGGCTCTGTCCTCCTCCCTCCCGCCCTCCTGTGTGCTGTGTGGTGTCAGACCCAGGGCCCACGTGGTGCTGTGCTTCGCTTTCTGCGCCTAGGGGCCGGGACCGCTCAGCTTTTTACCCTCACTGAGTGCTGGAGTCTGACTGTGAGCCTTTAAACACCAGCGGCATATCAGGATGAATCCAGAAGGTCCTCAGGTCTCAAGCTCTTGCTGGCCTTGTGTTCCTCCGGGCCCTGTGTGAAGGGGTGGGTCCTTGGAGCAGGCCTTGCTGGAGCTGGTGTCATCGCCAGGCCTGGGGCACAGGAAGTGTGCAGCCAGGGCGGAGCCTCAGGGGCATGAGGTTTGCAGAGGCTGCTTCTGACCGCCCTGCTTCAGCCACGGCGGAGCCCTGCTGCAGGCCTTGCGTCCTGTTCAAACTGCAGTGTGCTGTGCTTAGCCACCAAGGTCAAGAACACGTATTTTGATACAGCAGATTTCATCATTAAAGAATTTGTGAGCATATGTGTGAACAAATTGCTGACAGTGTTTTTATAAATATATCGAGGTACCCACAGGAGTGGTGAGAATACTTGGACTATGATTAGTGGTCTGTAGGCCTCTCTTCCTGTTGGTGGGTGTTGGAGCGCATCCTCACTGCTGCTGCTGCATCAGCTGACTCGGTGACGGAGTGACAGCTCCCAGCCAAGGTGCTCTCCGCCCTGTGTATGGCCCAGCTGGCTCTGTCCCTGGGAGCAGTTGCCAGTGTCAGACAGGTCCCGGGCTCTGCCGGTCAGAGTGTGAGGCCCATTTGATGTTTCCTCCTGAGTCTTCTGCTTTGAAAGCGCAGCGCCAGTCTCTCCAGTGGGTTGTGAGGCACTGTGTTCAGCAGAGTGACCAGGACCTAGGTGTTGCTGCTGATATTTGAAGCAGTTGAGGCGAGCACTTGTGTGTGTGCATGCACACTCATGTTTACAGCGGTACTTAGTCACTAATCTAATGCTTTGGAGAATGTTCGTGCCACTGAGGGTCACGCCCGTGCTGTCCCCCTCCTGACCGTGGAGGCGCAGCAGTATAGGACCGTATGGGGTGGGAAAGCCCAGCTCCTGCCTAGCCACCTGCAGGGGGGAGGGCGTGTCCCGTGCACAGCAGCATCACGCCCAGTGCCAGTGGGCGTTGCATCCTCGTTCCTGAGTGAGCCTTTGCCGAGGTTTGACTCCGAAGGTGTTGATTTGTTCAAAATAGTCACTAGAAGTTTTTTTAAAGAAAGCCACTACATAAAATAAATGTAAATAAAATGTATAAAGTGAATGTATTACTAACAGATTTTTTAAGTCTAATATTTTTGCTGAAATCACCAAGGCTATTTTGACACACAGAGGTGAAGTTGGGCATGGCAGCCCGAGAGTGCCAGGGATTGCATGTTTTGGGAGTTTGTGCAGTGTTGAAGCCCCAGATCACACCGTAGGTTGGTGTAGCTGCAGTTGCCACCGAACAAGTTCCTAGGAGAGGCCTGGGCGCAGGCTGTGGGCCAGCCCTCCAGGGGCGTGGGCCTGAGCAAGCAGTTTGACTACCCTTCCAAAGATAGTGCTTGTTTTTATGAAATGAAGTATGTAATGTTGTAATGACATAGACAAGTTAGAGAAATACCAAGGCCAATCCAAAAACACGGTGTGTCTAAATGTTAAAACTGTTATCACAGAAGACACTGCTGCGAATTCCCGATTCTCCCCCTGGGTCTGGCCGCTTCCTGGATTAGCTCTGGAGCCCTCTTGCCTCAGGAGGAGTGTCCTCAGGAGGAGTGTGCAGAACTTCAGTGACTGCGCTGCCCAGCCGCCCAGCGGAAAGGCAGCTCTTGCAAACACGACGCTGTGTGCTCCTTTGCCGCACTCACTGGGCCTGGCACAGTGCAATTCTGGCTCTGCCCAAAAGTCAGAATGACCCCAGAAGTGAAATGTCTTGAATCATCTCAGAACATGGAGGCACCACAAAAATTGAACCGTCTTGGTCTTTTGCTTCACTTTTTTGTTATAAAATAAGACCCCTCTGGCAGACAAGACAGCTTCTGTGAAAGGTGGTTACAGTGTGAGTGACCGAACGGCCTAATCAGCCCCTAAGTCGGGCCTCCATTGTGTTTTGTTGTTGTTTCCAGGTGTTTGGTTGGCCCGGCCTGCTCGGGTCCACTGTGGTGAACCAGAGAGAAATGAATTGTTCATCTTGCCGAGCTGCGTTCTGGAGCAGCTGGGCCTGGGTCTCAGCAAATGCTCCTCTCTGTCCTGTCTGTCTTGTTTCCCTTGAGACCCGGCCTGAGCTCAGCTGTTAACGGTGCTACCATGCCTGAGTGAGGGAACTCTAACCCGAGTGTTGCCAACCCCACGCAGAGGGAATGGAGGGGCTGCGCTTCCTCGGAGTCCCGGCCGTGGGCAGCCAGGGAACTGCCTGTCCAGCCATCAGACTCCCATCTTTGGCTTGCCACTCTTTGCAGAATTGGCTGGTCTGGAGTGCTGCTCATGTCTTTGCTTTGATCTTTTATCCGTTTTTCCATTTCTGTCATTTCTTGGATCCTCTGAGTTTTCCTGGGAAAGTTTGTACGTGTGAGAGGAGTGTCATTTCTTTATTTCCACAGGCGGACCTCCTGCTTTTCCTCAGTGTGAGCACAGGGAATGCTGTCCTGTTCCTCTTGTGAAAGGGTTGCTGCTGCTCTGCCCGGGCTTCGGTGTCTGCCAGGGCAGGGGGCCAAGGGCCCTTCTCGGGAAGCTGGGTTAGCTGCCCCTTCCCCTCGGATGTACACGGCCTGTTGCTGTGTGACCTTGCGACGGGTATGTGGTGTTTTGTATGATGCTCAGATGCACTACTTTGTGCTTTGAGTTGCCTGGTGTCTGTCTTGCGCCACACTGGGAGAGAGATTACACAGCTGTGACAGATGTGTGGAGAACACCCAGCAGCATTTGTAGGCAGGGCCCAGAGGCAGTGCCTGCCCCTCCGTGCTGTTCTGAAGGAAATTCATGCTGAGACATCGGTAGGTTTTCAGACACTGAGAGCTGTGTTCCCTGTGTTAAGCCGTCCTCTCCTTGTATAAAATGTGATTTGCACGGAGAGCAGGACACCATCAGACTCAGTGTGTGGCCCTTGTCACGGCAGGGTCTTGTCTGTTCTTTGCTGTCCTCGCACAGTGCCCAAGACTCAGTGGTCATGAAAAGGTCTGAGTGGCTCAGAGTTCTAGAAGCCCAGGACGTCGTGCCCGTGTGGGCTGCGCTCCTGCCTCGGCTCTGGAGGATTTCGCCGAGGGCCAGGAGCCTACCTGCTTGGCCACGCCCGCTCCCGGAAAGGATCAGCCCCTCTCAAAGGGCCCAGCGCCGCCTGACACTGCTAGCTTGGGTTCCACATTTCTGACCCTTAAAGGCAGGGGGGACAAAGCACGTTCAAACCCAGCAGGTAGTATAGAATGGCGGTGTTTGCCACGCCTTGTGCCCTGCTGCTCAGTAGGAGGGACTTGGGAAATGTTTGGTGAGTGACGGTGCAAGCAGCTCACAGACACTTTGAGAATTTGGGTTGCTGTCTTGTCTTACTGCACTGTCTTGGTCCATGTTCTGCTGCTATAGCAGAGTGCAGGGCTCAGGACCAATTATGCAGAGTGGAGGTTTGCTCTGGCTCGTGGATCTGGAGCTGAAAGTCCGGGAGTGTGGCACTGCGTTTGCCTCGTGCCGCGTCACAGCGTAATGGAAAACACCGGCTGGTGGGTGCCCGGGAGGCAGCAGGGCGTCACCACACTGCAGAGCTGGCGGTGACCCCGAGAGTGGCGGGAGGCGGTGCTCCTGTGGCCACAGTCCCCTTCACCTTTCGTGGGGACCTGAGGACACGGAGCCCATAGATCCGGCACGGTTTCCATGCAGACCAGATTTCAGCACAGTCTTGGAGGGGACAAACCATGTCCAAACACTGCAAGCACTGCTTCACTTAAAAACTCAGCATGCTGAAGTTCTAATAATAGAAAATGGTCCTGTCTTTTCAGGTACTTTTAAACCAACTCAGAGCAGTGTTTGATCAAATCATTGAGCTTCAGAACACTCAGGACGCAATATACCGAGCCGCCCTGGAAGAATTGCAGAGACGATTGCAGTTTGAAGAGAAAAAGCAGCAGCATGAGGTGGAGGTGCGGTTTTATCCGTGGTTTACGGTGTCGGTGACGAGCCTGCTTCTCGCCAGTGTCCACACACGCACCCATGAACACTTTCCCGCTGACGTCTCCAGGAAGGTGGAGATGCGTGCATTCACACTCACACGGGGTCCTGGGGTTTGGGCACCTGCAGCCCTCGTGTTCCCGAGTCACGGAGCTCAGCGTCTGTGCTGCACTGTGGTGCTGTGTCCCTGAGCCCTGGGGTGGAGGTTGGAGCCCCGGCCAGGAAAGGGGAGGAGCCGCTGCCTGTGGGGCTTCCCTTTGTTTTGCTAGATCCGTGCCACGCTATACTTCAGGGGCCTGGCTCTCGGGGTGGCCAGGGAGAGACAGTTCGGAGGACCATGTGTTCAGCTTTACTTTGCAGCATCATTTCTGGGCAGCTTGTGTCAGGGCATCCTGTCGGCCTGAGAGAGCAAGCATTTAGGTATGTCAGTAACAGCTGGCCCGTTGCTGTCACCCCCCTGGCCCTCGATGGCAAGGCCTGGGTGCTGAGGAGCTGAGGTGGCTGCGCACAGATCCGGCCTTGCCCCAGCCATTCTGTGGGTGAGTCACAGCGTGAGATTCAGCCCAGCATTTGGCATACTCGTCACTGATTGAAAATAAGTCCTTTAAAAGTAGAAGCAGATGCACCTGTCTCCAGGGGAGTGGTCAGAGCATTCTGGTCTTAGTCACGAGAACACAAAGCTCCATGTGTCCAAGGACTCGCTCTACGCGCGCGCGTGCGCGCGCGTGTGTGTGTGTGTGTGCCACGTGCGTGTGCCACAGGGAGTTGAACCCACAGCCTCTGCACTGCTCCTCAGCCCTTTCTCTTTCTCTCTCTCTCTCTCTCTCTCTCTCTCTCTCTCTCTCTCGCTCTGAAATGGGGTTCCACTAATTCACTAAGTCACTCAGGCTGGGCTCGAACTTGGGATCCTCCTGTTGTAGCCTCCCGGAGGGCTGAGAGCACAGGCACTCTGGTTCTGACTGTGTCATGTACTGTCTGAATACATAAATATTTATATCGTCCGAATAAAAAGTGTATGCAAAGTGACGGGAAGACGCCAGGCTGTCTGCAGTGATGGCAGAAGCCTGGTAGCTTGGGCCCCATCATGCCACTTGTGTGTTTTGCTGCATATTGCTGAGTCGTTGGAAACAGTGAGTTGTGAGAAAGTTAACTTTGGTGCTTTTGATTCTTAGGGCCAGTGGGGAGTGACAGCGGCAGATGAGGAGGAGGAGAACAGGAGGATTCAGGAATTTCAAGAGTCCATACCGAAAATGTGTTCCCAGCTGCGGATCCTGACGCACTTTTATCAGGTGTGCTGCATGCGGGGGCGCGGCCCCTTGCCCAGCCATGCCGAGGCCACTGTTGGGCTGGAGTGGTGCCAACTCCTCGTTGTAGACGGAGACCCTGGGGCAGGCCTCCAAGGACGTGGTGCCCACCCGGGGCATGGCCTGGCTGGCCCTGCAGGGCCTGTCTGGCCGAGCTGTGCCCCTTTTGGAGACCCTGGCACTCTGGGTAGGGTCCCTCGTCTCTGAGGGTGTTGATGTGGTCCTAGAGAGCAGGTTAATCGTGTGACCCCATTCTGCTCACACTGCAATCTTCATTTCCTGTTGATGCATCGAATTCCGGTCTCCTCACAGCAGGGCCCTCAGCGCTCCGGTCAGCACGACTGCCAGGGAGTGAGCAGCAGCTTGTCACGGGCTGCTTGTGAGTGAGCCTCCGGGTCTCCTGTCTTACAGGAAGCAGGCTGCACTTTTGGCAGTGTCATTTCTAGGGGCTTTCATCTGCCGTCACCTAGAGTGACAAATGGATGTCTGAGCATCACAGTCTGCTCTGTGCCAGCAGGATGCTGTGTGTGAGCTCTGTGCCCTGCCCTGTCTGGGTCCGCTGTGCCCTGGGAGGAAAGGGAGCAGCAGGGGAGGCCTGGAGGGTGAGGGGGTGCAGCCCGGGGCTCCTCTGAGCAGCTCCTCCCAGGCTTCTGGCTCAGGATCCTGATAAAGCCCAGGAACGTGTATCTCCTTGTATCCTGTTCACGAAGCCCTCCACACTGAGGGGACCCACTCCCGTGATCATGGGACAGATGAGATGTGCAGCCCTGAGTTGTGTACTGGAGGCTCTAATGGCAGTTGCTTTGCTTACTTAGGGGCAGAAGGAAAAACCCACTGGGTGGATGGTGTTAAATAAAATGTACCATTGCTGATTGGTATTTGTAAGAACATTGATGCCTTGAGATGTGGCCAGGGCAGGCTGTGTGACCTCCAGGCCCCCCCCTCCTCCTGGACCCCTCAAGGGTGTGGGTGAGGCCGGTGATTAGAGGAAGAACCCAGAGGGTTGGGAGGGCCAATCAGAGGGTCCTGTTGGGAATGGCTGTCCCTTGTTGTTTCTTACAGGGTATCGTGCAGCAGTTTCTGGTGTTATTGACGACCAGCCCTGATGAAAGTCTCCGGTTCCTCAGCTTCAGGCTGGACTTTAACGAGCACTACAAGGCCAGGGAGCCCAGGCTCCGAGTGTCTCTGGGCTCCAGGGGACGGCGCACGTCCCACACGTGAGGGCAGAAGACTCCGTCTGTTCACACCAGCTCACGACGGGTGGTCGGGGGCCAGCTTGCCACTGGCGGCCGCCTCTGCCTGAGGGCTGTAGTGTGTGTCGGTGGCCTGGCATCCAGCAGGGTTGCAGTCACGCGGTGTCCACCAGAAGCGAATGTGCCGTTGCTGGGTTGGTAGACTGCGCCCTCTGGTCAGCTCATCTGGGCCATGCTCACAGTGCAGACGCCAGGACGCGGGGTGGGGTGGGGGTGGGGGGGCTGCGTGCGCACTCCAGGGTGTCGCTTGTATTGATCACAGTCCTGTTAGCCAGCATAGGGCGTGGTGTGTTCAGAATAATGTCAATGCTATTTTTTTAACATCCTCTTTAGAGGAAGTTTTTGTTACCATAATAAACTGAAACAAGATGTCCCTGCTAAGAAAACACAGAGCATTTTATTTGGGTTTTTGTGTTGTGAAATGCTCACCTGCGAGTGTATTTATCTTAATGCTCCCCTTTGTTTGCTTGCTCTTACCTCTTCTCGCAAGGTTTACATTTTTATATTTCCTGTTTCGTGTAACTTCCAAACCAGTACAGAGAAGAGTAGGAGCGGCCCGGAACACAAGCAGATGTAGCCCAGGCCTCGAGAAGCCCTTGGCCAGAGCGGTGTGTAAATACAGATGACTCAAGGGTAAATGAAGGATTGTATTTTCAGATTCTTCCAAGCACTGGAAAGAAATTGACTTGGATAATGAAGACTTCCTTTTTCCTCACCTATTTTTTCACTGTAAATATTTATATACTACTGACCAGATGTTGGGAGGAACGGTTTTTTGTAAAAGCAAAATGTCATATCAAGTCACATAAATCTGCCTTTTTTTCATGTTATGTAGTATGAACTTGGAAATTAAAACAGTTACCTTTCAGATTCATTGCTATTTCTTGACCAGTCTGTGCAGAGACAGCCCATTGCCAGGTTTGCTGTACTGTGTTAGGGTACGGAGTGCAGTGTTTAACTCAGAAACCCAGAAGTCTGCCTGTGCAGCTCTCAGTGTGGCCCAGAGAGGGCCCCACTCATGGCTGTTGTGCTGTTACTGGAGACACCTGCAGTTAGGTTTCAGCACCCTGCCCAGTATACGACGCAGGCCTAAGAAATAAAACTAAGGCAGAACTAGGAGAGAGAAAGGGGGCCAGGACCGACCAGTGCTGGTGCAACCACCCAAAGCCCTGGCCAGTCCCAGGCACTGACTTTTATTGGCAGTTAATTGGGGTAAAAGCAAGCTGTGTGGAATTCCTATGGAAATTAATGTAAACAGGGCCCATAAAGGACAAGACAAAGCAATCTCGAATTAGGAACAGAATAGACAAATACATGATTGTAATTAGAACATTGTCTTTCTAGTCAGGAGGTTTTAGTTGTGGGAATGGAATTTGGGTGCGAGTTACTCTGACCTTGGCACATGGGCTTTGGACTCATTTCTATAAACAAGCTGATTGTGGGGTTAGCTCTTTAGTCTGCTTTGGTCATAATCAATATTATAGTCCTCTGCATCTCCCTCTTCTCTGTTGAAAACGTCAGCTGCGTTAGGTCTGGTGATCTTTGCAGGTCCAAGGGCTGTTGCAGGCGAGGAGAGTCACTCACATGTAGCTTTTGCATGGCCCTCAGCGGGGGTCACATTGTGCTGCTTGCAGCAAATCTATCATCTTGGTCCGTGGTGGTACATTCTGGGATGATGGTCACAGCATCTTATTTTCTGTTGAAAAAAAAGCATATTCTGGCCCCTATGTTATTAATTGTTTTTAGCCATTTACCTTTTAGTTAGGACATACTTTGACAACACTAGTGTCTAGGCCATGTCTGTAGATCTATCTTTGTATTAATGAAGTTTCAGTGGAGTATATTTAGCTTCCATAAGTGGATTTTAAACATTTAAAATGAAAATAACAAGATCTAATTGAACTTATGGAGGTAGCTGACCCCCCCCCTTTGTTTATGTGATTGTGTTTTTAGGGAAAGGTGAGTATGCCCAACAATGGCTTGTCCCTGAGAGGTATTTAATGAACTTATGTCACGAGGATATATAATGTGTTTAACTGACTTAGTTGCCTATAATAATTTTTTTTTATAAAGAGCATCTCCAGCTGTGGTTAGGGGAGAAAGAGCATAGTTTTAATCTCTTTTGAGCTGAGAAGTGTCGGTGTAGGGAAGACCACAGTTAGGGGCTCTCTTTAGGGGGCTAATTTAATAGCCTTAAATAAAAATTATGTTGTAATTTAGCAACTATAAACTCTTATAAAGTCAGTCTGGTGGATTTTGGTTAAAAAAATTAGCACATTTCTTGTTGATTTTATCTATATGATCACTTGGAGTTTGGCAGCCTATATGCAAGAACAAACAATTTCTTAAATTAGAGCATGTATAATCAAAGTATAAGTACTAAAATAAAAAATGCAGGTTGGGGAAAGAGCCGTGTTTAGAAACTGTTTTTAAAGGACTAAAATAGTGAGTGGAACCTGCTGACTCTTAGACCCTTTTACTAATGGAGCTTATCTGTAACTGGTTGTGATCAATTAGTTGTAAACACCACTGTACTCGGACCAGCCATTGGTCTGATATTTTGTCATAATTTTTCTTTTAATTTTAGCTGTAAAAAGATTGAAAATTTAATAATTTTAAAAAACAATTTTAGCTAAAAATTCTAAAAACTCTTGTTGATGTCTATAAATTTTACCATAGTCTCTTCTAATGACCTATAACGGGCGAGTCAGCAGTGTAGCTGGAAACTGCCACAAGAGGTCAGCAATTGGAGCCTCTTCTTACACCCAGCTTTATTACTATGGTCTTTACTTCATATATCTTTGGATTATGCTTTTCTACTGATCTATATTAATTAAAATTAACCACTTCCTAACTGTCAAGGTCAGCTAAGTCTCCACAGGCATCACATTGAGCCTTGTGCAGAGCTGCTCAGCTCCTGTCAGTGTCAGCCATCGGGATGGGTCGTGGCCTTGCTTGACCATGTTGCTTTCTGTGAAAGCGTGGGAGATTTTTCCCTTCATGTGACACTCCTTTGGCAAACTTTACATTTGCAGATCCTTACCTTTTTTTGGTGTCCCACAGTCTCCCTGCTCAGGAGGTTCGGTGACTTACCAAAGTTGTAGGATCTTGTAGAAAAGATTCTGTCATGACCTGGGCTGTTTGTAGACCTTGAAGGGCCAGGGCCAAAATATTGGCTGTCTTCTTAGCCCAGTTACCTTTATAGTTTTGGTCTCTAAACTTTAGTTGTTGAAGACCCAGAAGAGAAGATCAATAGCATTAGCATTGCAGTGGGAGTAGTGAACTTAATTATTATAATTTTATGTGGATATCAAGCACTTTGAAATATAAAATATAGTTAGAGGACTGTTATTTTATCAATCATGGCTGTTCTAGTAGTTGAATTCCTGTAAAATGTTAACAGAAAAAAAAGCTTCAAATCAAGAGCCACACATAATATTTTAGCATGACAATCATCATGACATTATCTTTGTAACACACTTAAATATCCATCATAAAAAATAGCCATTGTTAAATGTACCCATTCTCTAAAAACACCAAAAAACTCTTACTCAAATTGTTATCTTTTGATAGGATACCATCTAAAGAAAATATATCAGCCTGTAAATGTACCCATTATCATAAGTAGCTGGAGTGTATGAGAAAGGCAAACACCTGAATCAAAAAAGGTTATTACCATAAACAATATATTAGAAAACCTGTACAGTCAAAAACCATGAGTACATTTAGTACACCAGAAAATTAACAGTAATTATCACAATTATATGAAACCTTATGTCCTTTAATTCAGTTTGGTGCCAAAAGCATCTTTTCAATAAAACCTTGTTGGATTTTTTTTCCACAGAAAATTTAATCTTTTGAAAATGACCAAATGTAAACATATCACAAAAATATATTTAGAACTTAAACCTTTGATGAAAACCAATGTAAACATATTATAATAACATATTTAAGTAACATTCATTGATGTAAGTCTCTTACACAGCTATGAAAACTATCAGGTCAGTCTGTTGTAAAACTGGAAACTGTTGAGGTCCCCCTAGTGAGTAAAGATTGGAAAATATTTCCAGGTTGCTGCTCCTTTGTTCACCAAAGGGAGTCCCATTTAGTAGTCTCCCCAAACCTAAGGGTCTCCTTTTAATTACCTTAACAGAGCTTATTTAATCTATAAAAACCAGATTGTAATAATACATTATTTGTAACCAATTAAAGTTTTGGAGTGATTATATTTGGGGAACAATATGTATTGTATTATTTGATCTGTTAGCAACCTGGGGAAAAGAAAGCATGCCTTTAACTTTAATAATCTTTATCTATAAGCCAATTTAAATTTTTCTTTAAAAAAATTTTTTAAAGGCATAATGAAAAATTGTTGAGCTCAAACAAAACAGCTGTGAAATTGGACAGATAAACGGACAAACGAACATAAGACAATTTATAAAACTAGAGTGCACTCAAATATATTTTGCCTAATTGAATTATAATATCCTTTTATAATTTTTAGGTTCATAATTGTAAATAAGATTAGTCAAAACGTTTTGTAAGTCAATTAACAGAGATCTCTTGTAGAATTAGAATCAGAAGGAACAAAAGGCCTTTATGTCTGTAAATGTAAACCTTTTATAACAAACTGGAAACCAGTAAGCAAAATATATATTTCCTTGATAAATCACTCCTGTACACCTTCTCAACGTACCTAGCTTAATTCTAGTCTTATTACATATCTGTCTTTATCCTTCTAACAAGATAAACATACCAAATCCTTTCATGTCAAAAGTAGATCTCTTTTACTTATATCCTTAATATTTTACCTCTATCTCACTTACTATAAACCTATAACAAACTTGTCTTCAGCTGTTAAAATTTTAAAGTGCTCCTCCTTTTTTCTGTTCTCAGATTGTTACATTTTAAAATTTGACTAAGTTCGATCCCCGGTACCAAAAAAAAAAAAAAAAAAATTTTGACTGGTTGCCAGTAGAACAGTAGTGACCTTGAGTTTTTCATCATCGAAGTACAGAAAAGAGCAAGTTAACCCTATAAGTACAATTCAGCAATTTTCAATGCACAAGAAATGTTTTAAGCACACCAGTTAAACATCAACTCCAACTGAAACAAAGATACCTTTATCAATTGGCTAAAATTTGTAATTTGATTTTTCTAGTAAAATCCCTGTGTCTGTGAGAGAGCAGTTGTTCTAAGACCTAAGCTAAACAGTTCTCCCCAGCAGCTGGTTGCCTCAGAGAGGCTTGCATGGCTCCCAGGCTCGGTTGTTTGGACCACAAAACAGAGCACAAGGCTCCCAGTTGTCACAGTCCTGGTTAAAGTCTCAAGGGAGAGAACTCTTCTTTGCTGAGCTGCCTGGGTTTTGTTTTGTTTGTTTTTGGGTGTTGTTTTTGACACGCTCCCTGTGTTCCACGTCTAAAGTTCTTGTCTGTGACAAACGATTATGTTTAACTCTTTTGCAGCATTTATTCCAACACTGCAGGCCAGCTCGGGCCGAGAGTGATTACCCTGTGTTTCCGTCCCAGCTGACTCCCTTTATTCCCTTCTGGTATCTGAAGCACCTACCTCTTTCTCTGGGTTGTTGTGCTTGTCCTTGACCTTGGTGTGAGGTGCACGGCATTGTCGACTCCTTCTTTTTATTCCGAGTAGCCTTACTGAGCAGGTGATTGCTCATGGTTTGAGCCCTGACCATGGGCGCCAAGTACTAGAGATCCTGCAGTTAGGTTCCAGAACCCTGCCCAGTATACGACGCAGGCCTGAGAAATAAAACTAAAAGGCAGAACTAGGAGAGAGAAAGCGGGGTGCAGGGACAACCGACAGGCCCTGGCCAGTCCCAGGCACTGACTTTTATTGGCAGTTAATTGGGATAAAGGTGAGCTACATGCAGTTTCTTGGAAAAGTAATGTAAACAAGGCTCAGAAAGGACAAGACAAAGCAATCTTGAATTAGGAACAGAACAGACAAAATATAGGGTTGTTATTAGAACACTGTGCTTCTAGTCAGAAGGTTTTAGTTGTGGGGATGGAATTTGGGTGCGAATTACCCTGACCTCAGCACGTAGGCTTCGGCCAGACTCACTTCTATAAACAAGCTAGCTATGGGGCTAACTCTTCCCAGCCTGCTTTGGGCATGATCAGTATTACAGTCCTCTCTCTGCATGCTGTGTCCTTTTAGCTACCTTAGGATGTAGATTTAATTTTAGTTAAAAATTTCATAATGTTGGAAATTTGAAGCCAGCTTCTCCACTACAAGTCTTCCCCAAAATCACAGTGTACTGTAACTTGCCCACAGAACCTACTTCTATCTTGTGTCGTTTGAAGTGTTGCTGCAGGGGTCCATCCTATGCTGGAACCACTCCCAGAAATGTCCTCTGGTGTTGGGGTGGAAACTGCCTGGGCTGGGAGTTGTGGCAGCAGAAGCCTCTGAGCAGGGCCCTGATGACGGGGCTCAGGAGGGCAGGTGCACAGTCACTGCAGGCAGAGGTCCCGAGGCCCTAGGTGCGGCCCTTCCTTCAGAAGCATCCCTGTCTCACCTTGGCAGCCTTACGGTAGAGACCAGGGAAGCCCTACGTGTTGGGGCTGGCTCAGGGTTGTGGGCGCCTTCGCCCTCACCTTTGTGTCGCGTGGCGGTGAAGGTACAGCCTCAGCAGAAGGCCATCGCAGGACCCACGGCCCCGTGACCCCCACAAGCAGGAGGGCACCATGCATCCGGAAGTCGCACTGACTGGGTAAGAGCACTCTGTCCTGTGAGACGTGAAACTCACATTGGCCGTGTGTGCAGGAGCCCGGGAGCCCGAAACCACTGGCTCTGTTGTGTGGGCCCGGCCCGTGCCCTGGTGACATCTGTTAGGAGGACACGGCACACCTGGCCACTGTTTCCACCAAGTGTCCAGCTGGGGCTTTAGAGACAGTCCTCACACCAGAATCTAAAAATCGTGAAGTGCCTGGTCTTTCACATCCTGTTTTCCATCTGCCTGGGATCCAACACACAGTATGAGGCAGAGCTCAGCTGCTCTGTTTTCGGAAGTGGAGCCAGTTTCCAGGCAGCAGTAATTGAGAAGCTGGGTCTGGATGACTCGTGAGCAAGAATCCCCGAGTGTGTGTTTGGTCCTTTTGATCTGCTTGTCTCTCCCCGAATCCATACAGAAGTATCTCAGTCCCCGTCACTCTGTGATAAATAGGCATCTCTTCAGTGTATGCTGAGGACTGAGTCTCAGGAACGCACTGGGGCTGGGATGGAGCTCAGGTTCAAGGCCCTGGGTTCAGTCCCCTGGGGGGAAGTACTGCCTACCTCTGACCTCTTTTCTTTCATAGCAGCTTTAGAATCCAGTCCTATTTTTTAAAAAATGATTAGAATTGTAGTAATACCTCAGCTTACCAATGCTTCTGTTCGCAAACGAGTTCAGCCAAATTCTGCTTCTGTTTGAAAACTTCATCGGGTGAGGAACATGACTGTGGCCACCGTAGAATGGATTAAGTTTGTGAACCAAGGTACCACTATATCTATAAATTGTTTTTAGAAAGGTCCCATATGTATTTGTTTATCTCAGTCTGTGAACACAGTATCTCTCCATTTTTGCCTAGATCTTTCTTAATGTCTTTCAAAGTTCTATAAATTTCTCCATGTTAGCTTAGCATGACCTTTGTTGTATTTAGTGTTAGGGCTTGCTTTTTTTTTTTAAGCATTAAGATAAATGTTATCTTTAACATATAATTTTGTATTTGTTACTGATGTACAGAAATGGGGTTAATTTTTACATAAGGATTTTGTATCTGGAAGGCTTGCCAAATTACCTAGCACTTACCCCTGCTCTGTGAGTTCACTGGGTTCTCCGTATCCCTGTGTTAGTCCATGTCCTCCCAGAAGCAGAGAAGGTGGAGTTAGATGTACAAGAGATTTATTAGAGAAATCTGGGGAGGGGAAGGCCTGGGAGGTGAGATCCCCATGCAGGGAGAGGGAGGAGCCCAGGACGGTGCGGAGCTTCGAGGAAGGTTGGCAGAGCCACAGTGGGGTGGCGATCCTTGCGCCAGGCTGCCCTGAATGGGCGGCGGCTCTTACTCGCTACTCTCTTGGCCTTGGGGTATGGCTTGCTGAGCTGGCACGGCCCTCAGAGACCCCTTCTCATGGCTGCAGAGATGCATTCCCATCTCCCTGGACACACCCAGGGCCTCTACACCAGTCCCCTCTCCTGTCTGGAATCCTGTCCCTCCTGAGACTTTGAGGCCAGGGCTGCTACTGGAGCCGAGGCCAGGAAGCCCGAGGAGGCACGACCTGGAGTGGCCTCAGTCCCACACCTGTGCTCTTCCGTGGAGTGGGCACATCCTGCCTCCTGCCACTGCTGTGGCTCCAGGAGGGGCCTGGGTACCTGGCCACTGGACATCTGGGCAGCCATAACTCGGGGGTCAGTGGTGCCTTGCTGAGTTGAGGACACCCTGAGGGGCACCCTGCGTCCCGAGGGTCAGCCCCCCCAGTGTGTGTAGCTCATGGGCCCCTCTGAGGAGACCTCACTGCCCAGACCCATTGTGTCTGTATTCCAGGCAGCTGGACAGTGTGGAAGCCAGCGCAGGCGAGCCCAGTGGCAGGCAAATGGTGCTTTCATGGCAACATGAGGTGGTTAAGAAAGAAGCCTTCAAGACAGAGCATGCTGCAGCTTCTCAGGAAAGAGGAGCTCTGTTAAAATCTATGTACTTTTTTGCATTAAAGCTCCATGTCAGTGTATGGATTTCACTTGCGTCCTCACCTTCCTCTCCAGGTATTGAGCTAAACGAGACTGAGCGCCTGGACAGGGTCCAGGAGGCAGTAGGCAGGTGGGCGTGAAGGGCTGAGCACACCAGCGTGTTGGTCTGCCGGAGGCGTGGTGCGGCCTGGGAGTCCTGGCTGTGGGTGTTGCCCTCGTGGGAGGACGCTGAGCCCTCTCGGTGGTGCTGGTGACCAGTCCTGTGCCTTCCTTGCTGTGGGTTTTGGTCTCGTCCCCCCCCCCACAGTCCCCCGCAGACTTCGGGCGTCCCTGGGTGACACCGGATTCGGGACCCAGAGAGGCATTGTCCTAGCACCCGTCCCAGGCCCTTCACTGCTGGTCAGCGAGGCTGCAGCCCTGAGCTTGGCTTGCAGGGCCTTCGGGAGCTGCCTGTCCTGTGTCAGAGTGGGGCCCAACTGGGGGCCTGAGGGGCAGGTCAGTGCCCAACAGCTGCACGTCCTCCCGGGACCAGCGGTGCCACAGCCACCTGAGATGGGGACCTGGAGCCCCACACTTTCCTGGTGCCCACGTCGGGACCTCTCTGCAGGGGAGCTGATGCCCGCGCAGCCCCAGCAGCAGCACCTGCTGGGTACGGGTGCTTCCCACCTGGGGTGTCTTGCCCAGGTGCCCATGGTCAGGGCAGAGCAGGCTGCGGGCATGGAAGGCCCTCCGCCCAGCCCGCGGTATGTGCTTGGGCTGTGGCCTGCAGGGCTGCCCAGCCTGGGGCTCGGGCTGGATAGCGTCCACGCCTCTCCTTGCTGGGCCCAGCTGGACCCCGGGGGCCCACCCATGCCCGCGGCGCCTGCCGCCCCAGTGCCTGGGTTTGGATACTGCCCCGCCCAGACGCTGAGCTGGTGAAATGCAGTCCATGCTGTGGCGCCCCGGGTGGGTGGCAGGAGAGGAAGTGAGAATCGCACAAAGATCCCTGTGCTCCGAAAATATACCCTGCTCTCCAGAAAATTGAGTGAAATGGTATGGAAATGCGGCTGTGTGATTATGGATATTGTTCTGTGGACGTGCTGCCAGTTGTCTCTTAAGGAAGGAAATGAATCTGTTTTTCTCCTGTCTTTGTGCCTGGTTTGAGGTTTTAATAAAGATGCAGTGAGGGCGTGTGGGTTGGGAGCACCTTGGGGCTGTGCGCTGGGGCTGGCTGGACGCTGCTCACACGGGCCTGCAGGAGCCATCGGGCTGTGGAGGTTCCTGGGGCCCCACTGCCCACCAGGGCACACACCCAGCTGCGGCTCAGGTGCAGGGCCGGCTTGGGTGCCAGGCCTGTGCCTGGAGCCCTGGGCAGGACGCACAGGTGGGTGCGGTGAGGTCCTCCCGACCTGTGTGGGGTGGGGGTGAAGCCTAGGTGCCGCGTGGGCTAAGAGCCTGGCTACACACTGGTGAGGGCCCTGCGGGCGGCTGGAGCGCTCCTGGGGAAGCCGGCCGTCTTCGGCACCGGGACATACGTCTGCACTGTACAGATGTTGGACGCCAGGCAGCATGGGCAGTGTAACCCGGTTTCCTTCTGTAATCCAAGGCCCCGAGGCCTGGAAACTCATCCAGCTCGCAGACCGAGCTGCACCTCACACCCAGGCCCCTCCCTGGCTCCGGGGGCAGGAAGAGCGGGTGCACTCCTGCCAGCGGCCAGGTCAAAGGGCGTGCAGTCACCAGTCACTGCGGCCACATGAGCAGTGATGAGGGAAGGAGGAGCCAGGTGAGGGCCAGGGTCAGCCTGGGTTGCATGGCATTGCCCTGCTGGAAGGAGGCAGAGGGGAGAGGGGACATGGTGTCCTGGCTGGGGTTCCTGGAGTGCCTGTGTCTGTCTACGGCCTTGGGTGCTCCCCAGGAAGAGATGCCACCCCAAGCTCTGGGTGCTGAGGGCAGGTGGGCTCCTGGGGCTTGGACAGCCCCGCCAACCTGGACCTCGGTGGGCTGCCTGGATGCTGGGGCCCGGGGAGAGGGAGGCACTGGGTCCTTCTGGCTCGCTGACCCCCAGAATTCACGTCTAGAGGCAGGCCAGGTGTCCGAAGAGAGGTAATGTTGAGTGCGTCCCCTCCGAGAAATCTCAGGCATCAGTGGCCCGTGTCCCCATGGCTGGAGGTGACGGTTTGTCCTGAGGCAGCCAGTGGCCCTGCACAGGCTGCAGGGTGTGTGACGGGATGAAGGTCTGCCCCGACCCACCCCAGGGGAAGGCGCCACCTTGCCCCCAGAGCTGCGTATTGAAGCAGCCTCCCTGCTCCCAGCAGCAGGAAGCCAGTGTCCACTTGGAGACTGGAGACCCAGCCGCCCGGGCACAGCGGCTGGTGAGGCCGAGGATGGGGTCAGCCCAGCCTCTCCCCGGCCACTGTGGCCAGCACCCCAGGGCCTCCCCATGCTGGCTGCTCCTGGCTGTGCCCGTAAACCGCTCTGCCCAGCTGGGAAGGGTGTGAAGCCTGTACCCGACCCACCCTGAAGCCGTCCGACCACTGGACTCTGTCCTGTGGCAGGTGCTGGGCACGGTGCCCTCGGCCTTCCTCCTGTTACCTCTGCTTGGAAGGCGGGCCCTGAACCGCTGGCCTAACGCCTCAGCAGCCAGCTCCCGGGGCCCGGCAAGCACAGTGCAGAGGGCATGGCTGTCTGGGGACAGGCCTGGGGCTCAACCTTGGGTCCCCACACCTGCTGCGTCCCCATGTTCTGGCCACAGCTGGGCAGCAGCATAGGCTCCCGATCCTGGCCCTGGCCACCTGGGAAAACGACGCGTTTGAAGCCTGAGCACAGGAAGGCCCTGTGTGGGCCGTGTTCCCCACTGCTCCAGCCTGTAGCTGGGAGCCCCACGCTGGACCCTTCTTCCCCCTCCAGCCCCAAGCTGCCCTGCCCCAAGCCCTGGCTATCCCCACCCTGCTCAGGAGCCAGTCAGTGCAGGCTCCTGGGCAGTGGGGTGGGTGCCCCGGGCCTGTTGCACAGCTCTGGGTGGGAGGGGGGGCTGGTCCTTGCGATCGCTTCTCTCCTGGGAGGGTGGGTCCTCGCCCTGGCCTCCTGTTCCCACCTACAACATCCACGTGGCCACGATCTTCATAGTAGACCACCCCAGGGTGGCGGCTGACCGGAGGGAACGTGGCAGTGCTGCTGCCCGGGCCAGGCCGTGTCCCTCTGGCCCGTGTCCCCTGAAGTGTGTCATTTGCTGCTCGAGGTCCCTGGGCAGTCAGCTCCCTGGTGTCTCCACCCACCCGCCCGGCCTTGGGGCCTCCTGTGTGGGCCTGGGGGGAGGGCTGGAAGCCTTCAGCCAGAGAAGCCGCAGGAGGTGTCGGGGAGCTGCTCCGCCTGTGCAGGTCTTGTCACTTCGTCCAGTACTGCCAGCAGGGTGCAGTACAGTGCGGACACGCCCCAGGAAGGAGGGACGCTGAGGGCCCCGGGGGGACCGCTGGCCGCCTGTGCATCGTGGAGGATGGCAGTTTGTGGTGTGTGAATTGCTCAGAGTCTCCCTCTGTCTCTGTGCTGTGCACAGGTGGGCACGCAGGTGAGCAGGTTCTGCCTTCTGGAGCAGGGAGATGCCAGGGTTTGAACATTTGTCTCCTCCACACTCCTGACATGGGATGCAGGGAGCTCCTGCTCCAGCAACACTGGAAGGTGCTACTGAGGCAGGGTCAGGCATCCCAGGAGGGCTTCCTTGGAGGCTTGGGAAGAGCAGTGGGCGCCCGGGGGAGGAAGGCGGGGAGCAGCTCTCATGGCCGGGCACTGCCTGGTCCCCGCCCCAGTTTTGCCCTGAGATGCTTCCTCCTCCTTTCGGGGCTCTGCTGGGCTCTGACCGCAGGCTAGGGCAGTGACCGCGACCCCAAGGGCCTAGCCCAGGGCCTGACGGGACACGGAGACCTGGCCACTGAGTCCCCGAAAGTCTCCTCTCAGGGTCCTCCCTCGGGGTTGGGCAGGGCAGGCACTTGGGCCTTGGGAACCTGTGTCCCCGTGTGCGACAGCCACCCCCACGGTGAAGGCCACACGCAGCACTGAGCTCGGGCCTGGCCCAGAGTGTTCGGTGGTGGCAGACACAGGACGAGGGCGGAGACGCGCGGCTGTGTCCCGCTTGGCCACCCACTGGTACCCGCTGGTTTTTAGCAGAAGCAGCTTTTTAAGACCCTGACCACCTTGGAAGGAAATGCCAGGCACGCGCTGGACGAGTAAGGACCCAGGCTAGGAGCCTGCCCGCCCCAGCCCTCGGCAGGGGCCCTGACAGTTTCATCCTCCCTCCTGGTCTGCCCTGGGAGCCTGGGCGGAGGCCTCTGGGCTGCAGTGACGCCGGGTTCCTCACATTTTGGAGTCTGATGAGACAGTTTGGGAGCCGGGGTGGGAAGAAGTAGCCTGAGTCACAGCTGCGACTGCACCCGCCCGGTCCCCGAGGTGGGGTCTGTGTCCCCGGTGGACTGGAACTGGGACATGGGGCCTTGCCTCGGGTTGCCCTCTCTGGCACTTCCATTTCTGCCACTTGAGGGGCAGCATTTGTGCCTAGGGGAGGTGGCAGCGTGCAGGTGCCATCTCTGAAGCCAGGAATAGCCTCAGCTGGTGCCACACTTGCGGGGGCCTCTCGATCCTCCTCATCCCCGTGTCGTCCCTCGGTGTTCACGGCCGCAGTGCAGACAGGGCCACCTTGGGGCTGGCTCGGGAGGCAGGGCTGTCCCTCCCTCCTGTCCCCTGTGGGTTTGGCCTCAGCCTTGAGGACATGGCGGACCCGGTCGGTGCTGGAGTCCGGCCACACTGCTGCTCCTGGGCCTGCAGATCAGGCTGGTCCCTGTGTGTGGCAGTGAAGACGCTGCAAACACCTCATCCCGCCCCACCTCACCTGGGGAAGATGCCCTGGCCTGCAGCTGTTCGTGGAAGGGGTTCCAAGTCCTTGTTTCCCAAAGCCCCGAGCTGGCTGTGGTCCTCCTCCCTGAGACGGCCACACTGTGGCAGCCCT